ATGTTGTTCCTGTTAGATTGTATTTTTCGGAACAACCGTGGACGAGTCCGTTTTGAGAGACGTGGAACGAAAAAAAAAAAAAAAAAAAAAAAAAACCATTTGACGTGATACCAATCGCTATAATTTAACTTCATCCCATTATGTGTGCTCCACGGAATGTTCCTTGGTGCAGGGAATTCGCTTTTGTCCAATGTTGGGGGTGTTCCACGAGGGGTCCAGCGAAGAGGCGTGCCCCCGCTTTATCCGACACGCACGTGCGTGTGTCTATGCATATTCGCATAACCCCGTCCATTTCCCCCTTTTTATAGATTGAGCATCCATGTCACCACCACCTCTAGCATTTAGGCTAAGATTAATTTAGCCATCCGCGTGAACCGCGCACAGTGGCAAGCGTATATGTCTTACGTGCCCTAGGATGATGCACAGGTTTTACTAAGGTGAAATGGTTCCCTCTTTTTTTTTGGCCCCTGGGTTTGGACGTGGATTTATGTAGAGTGTCCATAGGGTACATATATATATGCATGCCTTTTTGAGGTTTTTCAAAGAACTCATTTTGGCGAATAGAAATAAATAAAAGGGTACGTCCCCCGTCCTTCCTCGTATAGCTCTACTTTTTCGTCGTATGTGACCAAGGAAGGGGCGCCAAATTGGAATGACAGAAATTTGGCGTGTTAAAAAGGTGTTTTCATTTTTACCATATGGGTTATGTAACGTTACATGTTACGTCACGGGGATTTTGGTTTCCCTCTGTAGCGTGGAGCAGTGAGGGGAAGATTACAATAGGATCTCTTCTTCGCCCCACTGGGCCCTTTCCCTATGTAATTGCAGTCTACAATCGTGCTTTTTCCTTTTGTCTATTTTATTTATTTTCTCATTCGAATGGGAGGAACGGTGTGGTAAGGCTTCCCCCAATGCCGCTTTATTCCGAAGCGTAAGACGTATATACATCCAATATGGCACAATGAACGATGTACTTCACGTGGTAGCATTTAAAAAGGGGAACAATGAAATGCCTCAAAATTTGTTCCTTACGAATTTGTTTTGCTATCGAACAGAAACAGGCACGCAAAGTACATGCATTTGCTACCCACGCGGTATGTGGATTAACGTTTCTTTTACTATTATCCTTTCGCAGACTGTAAGCCGTTCGTTCGTTTGTTTGTTTGTTTGTTTGTTTGTTTTTTTCAATGTGGGGCAACCCGTTGGGGGAGATGGCATTTTTCTTCGCTCAAAAATGTTCTTTAAGGAGAAAAACACGTGGTGGGGCGAAAGCATATGTATGGGTTAAAATGGAAAAAGAAAAAAAAGTTCGCGCGTTACTCCTTTAACTGGGTCTTAAATTCGAAAAAAACGCATAGTCTGTATGGATGTATTATGTGCTATATATATGTTTTTTTTTTTTTTTCCTGCTTCAGCTCGGAAAAATTGTCTGCGGCGGCGTATGCCCATTTGGCGTATTTATGCCATTTTTATTTTTCTTCTTACGGGCGTTTTTATCCATATTGCCTTCCTACCTGCCTGGCGCAGTGCGAAAGAGGGCGTTTTATTGTTTTTTTTTTTTAATGACTTGTGTTTTTCTCCTCCCCTCCCAAATCGAAGTATTCACTCGCGAAATAGGAATGTATAATATTGTTTGATGCAGATATAATGATAATATTATATACCACATTTTATGTATGCATTTTTGCTTCTATCGGCACCATCGCGGCGGCAACAACTTTGAAAACGTCCCAGGGGAAGGGAGAAAGGAAAAAAAAAAAAATACTCAATGTATAAGCGCGCCAGCGCACGGTTAAACATATAAATTGAATCATTTTGTTATTGTTAAGTTTCAGACCATTGTTCCTGAACAGTGTTTTTCCCTCAAAGGGGTACCATCGCGCGTATATACGCATATGTTATGTATACTTATCTTATTATTTACGCCGCTTTTACGACTGCTCGCATCTTTCGCAACTTTGCTTTTGCGAAGGAGCAATTGTACGCGCGCGACGCGCATATAACTTTGTATGCATACCTTCACATATGCGCATACGTATATGTACTTTACCCATATGCATGTCCGCGTTGTACTCCTTCCCTGCGTGCCAATTTTGCCCTGATAACGGCATTGTCCGCCCTGCTGCACGTCTACTTAAAATTATTGTTTTTCTCTGCCCGCCTTATTTGAGCAGCCGCTTGGTTTTAATCAACCCGTTTAATGTTGCTGTTGGATGCTGATTTGGAGTGATACAAGGTGAAAAAAAAAAAAATATATATATATAATAATAGGGGCCCAACAGTATTGCATTCCCCCCCTTCCCCAGTTACTATTTTTTTTTTCCTTTACCTCTTACAATATCGTTAATTTGTATTTATATTCTCCATTTTTGCGTCCCACGCGCTTTATGACATTTTTCCGAAAGGGGCGAACGAATTCGTGCTTTTTTCTGCACAACTACACGTGACAGTAGTTACACGTATGTACATGAAAAAATGTAAACGTGCCCTACCTAGTACGTCGTCTTCTGAGAAGTGATTTATTTTTTAAGTCAAACGTCCAATCTCCGCCGCTAACTCCTTGCGCGTACATTTGCCATCGGAGGGAAACTTTTCTCCAGGGCGCCCTTTCCGAGCAGCTATAACTTGGTGAGTTGTACGAAGGAGTGTTGCCCGGGAGCCAGATCTTTAAGACGAGCAGATTAACCCACTTTTTGAGAACTCCCACCCCCCGCAAGGAGTGTCTTCGCTCCCATCTGCACAGGGGATACAAGCATCTGTCGCGTCTGTCGCATCGTACACATCTGTAGCAACTGTATAGAAGGAACCACCGTGACGTCATTATGGGGGGCGAAAACAACTTCGACGGTTTGTCCTTCTTCGAGAATAATGATTTCGAAAATATCAACCGAGATTTTCTGAGGGGATCCATGGAGAGCACCACGCATGAAGAAGAAAAGGGGCTCATACAGAAGGCAATTAGTTTGTCCAAAAAAGGAGCAGAGAATATACAGAAGGGCATCAAAAAGACTCTCGAAAAGACGAACATAAATCATTCCCCATCAATAGTGTCCAATTCTACCACTGCAGAAACGGGATCCATGTTTTCAAATTTTCCACTTTTTAATAGTCAGAGTAGAGAAAATGAACCCAGCTCCTTCTTTGCCTTCACCAATGTCCTGTCTTATAAGAATTTTCCCCTTTTCTGTTTATTCTTTGGAGTCAGCATTTTGTTCCTAATATTGTCATTCTTTACTTTGCCCATGATTGTTATCACTCCGAGGCAGTTTGGCTTCTTCTTCACTTTGTCCTCCATCTGCTTCGTCACCTCGCTGTCCTTTCTCAAGGGATTTTCGAGTCTCTACTACCACTTGATCGAGAAGAATCGGTAAGGCTGATTAGCGGCGCGCAAAGCGACAAGATTGCCTGCTGGACCCATTTGCATTCCCATTCATATCATTCGCATGTTCACCTCACGATGTGCCTGTGACCTTTTTTTCCCCCCTTAGGCTCCCATTCACCGCGGCGTACATTTTGTCCCTCCTCTCCACGCTTTACTTCACCGTCATTAAACCCTTATATTTATTGGTGCGTTGAAGGAGACTGTTTTTCTTATCCCCCCATGTGAAGAAGGGGGCACCTGTTTCAGCAAGTGCCCACGCCGTTAACATACATTTGTAGCTCTACCTCCCTGCTGATATCACCTCCATTTCTAAAATTTTTACAGGCCCTGATCACCTCCGTTGTGCAAGTGTTCGCCCTCATTTCTTTCATCGTATCGTACATACCAGGTATGGAAAAAGGGGGGGTAGCTCTGATTAGTGTGCCCCATCCGAAGTGGCACGCCAGTTGGTGCTCATCCCGAATGAGAAACAGCATCATTTGTCCGCTTTGACATTTTCCCCATGTAAAAATGGCACTTTTTTCATTCCATCCCATTCTTCCTTTCTGTGCAGGCGGAGCAGGGGCAATCAGAATGTTACTAACCACTCTGTTCACGTACATCAAGAACATGTTTCGAAGAGGCAATTCGTCAGATCTGCCGTTTTAATTTTAGATATATATATATCTACATATATTTCTCTCCCCCATTGGAATTAATCTCATCGTGTAGGCAATTATTCTTTTTTTTTTTTTTTTAACATCCCATGGTGATTTCGTTCTAGCAAGTTTTTAAATTGACCCTGCGTGAATGTCCCCACGGAGGAGAAAATTCAAAGGGGGCATTGCCAATATGTGTGTACATAATATACGTAAAGGAAATGAATCCCAGTTCGAAAAAAGAAAAATAAAAAAGAAAACGTGAGAAAGAGTCACCAAGATAACGCCAAGGCGACCCCAAGGCGACCCCAAGAAGACGCCATGACCACATGTTTAAGAGGCCACAATTCGTGAATCGAATAATATTTCTCCGTAAGAAGAGCACCACGTCTACTTTACAACCATGACAAGCACAAAGGAGGTCCATTTTATAGGAAATTTTTTTTAAGTTTAACTGAGGTGCCAAAAAAGTGGGATGTGCTTCGCGCAAGCACCAACGAAGCAAGATTTTACGAGAAAATTAAAAGACGCCCCCCCGTATGTTTCCGTGGATATATGTCGCACTGTACAAGTATCCATTGTGTGCGCTACATTTAGGTGTGATAACTTACACGACAATTTGTGTGCACATCCCTTTATTCCTCTCCCGTTCGTGTTCACCCGTATACTCCATTGCATGTTTTTCCCCCTTTTTTTTTTGTGATCTATTATTCATAATTTAAATTTAAAAAAAACTACAATTTAAACTTTGAAAAAAAGGAGAAGAAAATTATGATGGTGGAAAAATGCTGTGTTGCCGAATGGGCTACTTTCTTCTGCAGGGTGGCCATCGATGTAATTGCATCCCCGTTTATCTGCTCCCCGTTTTATTCCACGCGAGAGGGAAATGGTAGGGCGATCCGTTGGGGTACCCCTAAACTGGGATACAAGCAGAGCGTTGGCCACCATGGACAAAAAATCCAGTGCATGTGCTGCCCTTTCTCCTTGCCCTATGCAGACACGTTTCTAAAAATGGCAGAAGGAAGAAATTTAAATCAGTCAATTATTTACATAACAAATATTATAACAAAAAATTTTAAAAATTAGTAATTACTTGTTCTGAAAAAAAAAGAGAAAGAGACGGGAGAGGCGGAAGAAATGATATCGACGGAGGAAACGAAAAAGAAAAAAAAATTAATGAATAGTTTCCGTGAATACGACATTACACTGCATCTTAATAGAAAGGAAAGGAAAAAAAAAACCCAAAAAAAGGCAAAAAAAAATACCATATAGATACTTCGAAACGGCGGCAGAAACGTAGCAACAATATTATATGTGCGTGTTTTAACTTAGAATGATGTCTGAAAAACGTTTTCTACTTTTTTCTCTTTTTTTTATCAATGGACTACGTTCTCGAATTCGCCCAAGGGGTGTGTGGCCATCATCAAGGCCCTTGGTTTGGATGGCGCGCTCAAATGTACCCACATATTCGTCTGACTACAAGGGTCCTCCGGTCGTCGTTAAATTGGAAGAGAAACCCCCTTCGGTTGGGACTTCTCCAGGTGGGCTGCACTATCGGTGGCAGTTTGAACGTAAATGTGTAGGTAAACCATTAGGAGGGGGAAGAGACTTTCCCAAAACCGCTCTGCCCTTTTGGAATTCCCTCAAAGTACGTTCCGTTATGTCTTTTCCCAAACCCCGCTTCCTTCATGAGCAGGCGCCGGGGAGGTTCTGCAAACCACTGCATCGAATGAGATCCTGGTTGCAGCTGCTCGTGGCGCAGTTGTAGCATCTCTGCGTGCAGGGATTGCCGAATAGGCAGGGGAGCCAGCAGTTGGACTTTCCACAATCGACGGATTGTTTAAAGCAAGCAGAACAAGTATCGGAAAGTTTTAAGTCCCGTTTGGCTAGCTGTTCCTGCACGCAGATCATGGTTCTCTCCCCTGAGCCTAGGCTATCAACGGAGCACTGTAAAAGACTGCTAAAAAATTTATTGCTCGGGGAGAGGTATAACCCGTTGGAATGTACTACACCATCCGGTTTCTCTTTATCAAAAATGATCTCTTTGTCCATCTCCGATTGGCACCCGTCAGTGATGTCCGGCTCGTCAGATCCTTGCACTTGTAAATTGCAGCTATCCAAATTCTTGGTTATATTTCGGATTAAAAAATTAATTGTCTCTATTTTTAAATCATTCAATAAATCGGAACCGAAAATCAAATGAGGCATACCTATGATGATAAAAGACTTGTTGTCGTCACATAAGCTTTCTGCTTTTCCATTTTTGATGATATTTGAAATTCGATGTAACAGACTTTTTGGGTTCACTTCATTATATCTTCCACTTAGCAATTCGTTGATGTGCTCATTAATAATCTGTCTGTTTTTCTTCGATGCATGTGCGAGGATGACATTGATGGAGTCGCTTAGCATGTCGTTCTTTATTCCTCCTAACCAGCTTTTTTGGAAGCTGTTTTGGAAGTTATTTTGGAAGTTATTTTGGAAGCTATTTTGGAAGATATTTTGAAAACTGTTATGAAAGCTGTTTAAGACATCCTTCTTCCATCCTCGCGGCCAGTCCTTTTCAATTTCGCTGAGGAAATCCTTCTCCCATTCTCCCAGCATGTCATTCTTCCAGTCATTAAACCAATCATTTGCCGCTATTCCCTGGGCGTTGGAAAAGAGGATGAGTGGGAGCCCCAGTTTATTTGTCACCTCCTCCGTCAACAGCGTCAGTGCTACGACGCACGAGCGAATTAGGATATTTTTTAGATTGGCCATGGTTGGTGATGCTCGTCCGGTCAAGCAGCGCCCGCCCATATAAAGGCGCAGAACTACGTAAACGGGAAAATTACTCTTAGGAAAAAATATACATATATATAAAGAATATGTATGTATGCATATGTGTATACACCCAGATATGTGCGCGCTGGATAGGTGTATACATCTGCCGCGCGGGGAATGGGGGGTGGCCTTCGCCAAATCGAAAAAGGGTCCCCCCTCAAACGAATGAGCGTCGAAAGAAAGCTGAGCAACGGTTAAGCGGTTAAACGACTAAGCGGTTTAAGTGCTAATCGGTTTAACTGCTAATCGGTTGGAACGTCTAAGCGTCTCCAAAAGAGCGAATTCAAAAGGTGCGACTTTTAAAAATTGCGCCGCCTCGAATTGTGCCGCCTCGAATTTCCCCGCGCTGGTCGCCGAACAAAGAACTTCCGTTGCGGCGGCGAAAAATTTGCAACGCGCGGGCACGTGGAAGTACAATGATGCGGGGGACAGACACGCCTTCGCAAAGTATATAAACACACGAAGAATATTCACGTGTATATATTTATTTATGTTCGCATCAACGAGCGGTCAGTATAATCATAAAAGACGTTTAACTTCTTTCTTGTTGCGGCTTGACATACGCGAGCAATCGGGGGGGTCGGAAAGAAAAAAAAAAAATTGCAAACTATTTGGAGAAATATATTCGTCAATTTTCTAATCCAAAAAATACGCAAGTTGAGCGAAATTTTCTCCTTGCTAGTTGATCGTTAAGGGGTCCCACGGGGGGGAAAAAAAAAAAATCAAACGAAAAGCAAACGTAAAGAAAAAATCGAATGGTAACGAATGGTGACGAATGGTGACGAATGGTGATGAATCGCGGCGAATCGCGAAGAACAACGAACTTCCGACGAACCCAACGGGGCACCAAAAAGGAAGCAAAAACGCGGGAGGCAAACGCAGAAGGCAAATGCAATGAAGTGCTGTCCCCCGCGCAGAGAAGCAGACCAACCTTTTTTATATCTCCGTAGGCGCCCGCTGGCCTATAGGGAAATCGGGTCAAGTTCACGCAGGACCTCGAGGAGGAGCTCACAAAAACGCGTAACTGGGTAGATAAAATATATGGATGAAAAATCAAAAAAATGAAAAAAGCATAAGTATAAATGATGCTAATAATCAAGGTGATCATAATCACTGGAGGAAAAAAATTCCTACTTAAAAAACAAACGTGCACGCTTCTTCTCCTTTTCTTATTCGCAATAATTATCCAAAAAAAAAAGCAAAACCACGCAAGAAGCACACTTCGTTTGTTGGCATATATTATATATATATTTTTTTTATCATTCTGCCTCGTAGAAAACATGCTCATTCCTATGTCCATCTCCTCCCAATGGGACAAACCAGCGTAGGTGAGGAAATACCCATTTTGAAATTTTTTTTTTTTAGCAACCCTGATTTGGAAATGTAAGGATTGTATGTACAGTTGAGGAAGCCAATCTCTTATCTTTTTTCTTCATCTTTCCAAAAAAAAAAAAAAACGCTGCAATAGTTGGCTTCCCCCAGGTGGTTAAAAAATATGTATGAATCATTGCTGCTAATTTTGTATGTCTACAATTCGATTGGGATTCGAAAAGCAGAACGGTCATGCAGAATAGAGAAATAAATAATAATATAGTTTTAAAGGATCTTTCTCATATTTTTTGCCGCCCAGTCTGAAAGCCTTCTTAATTAGTTTAAATTTGTTGGGAGTGTAAGAATGGCGATGAACACCGCAAGGAAAAAAAGAAAAAAAAAAATTCCATTTTGAGGAAAATTTTTTTTCCACTCATTTAGGAGTAGGATGGGGATCTCCCAAGGATTATGGGTTAGAGTTTATTGGTGTGAATATACGCGATGCATATCCGACTGATAAAGCATATTCAGTGTAATAGGTCCATACGGATGTTATGGTTCCCACCGTTTTTTTATGTCATCAATAATTGTGTTATTATCGGATGGCACATGATGAAGCACTTTCCCCCCAGGGGGTGATTACGCCTTTTTCATTTTTTACCATTTCGTGAGGAGCTTACCCACTTTTGTAGTACATGTTCCTGTATCCAACGAAAAAGGAAAATTTTTTTTTTTAAAAAGTGAAACGGAAATTACTTAATTTGCATATATAAGTAGACCAAACGCAGACCTTAACGATGAACATTTTTGAAAATATGCCTCTTCGCTGATATCAAGGGGGTAAGGCGGCTGTGGGGGCCTTACACATTTGGATACAGACTCTGCATAAGCTGTACACACATATCAGTGGTGCGTCTACTTCTTTCTCCTTTTGAGAGTTATAAGAAAATGACTCGCATTAGCTAAATGGTGCCCTTCTTTGTAGCGTAGAGGCCAACCAGTGTGCGCCCCTCACGTATCGTGAAAATTTACGTTCCCCATTTATCTGCCCGCTTCCGATGTGTCTCTGTTTCTGTGACAGACCCATTCAAATAGGAAGGCACACATTTTATATATATTTACCTGCGCTTGTGCTACGCTATGCATTCTAAAAAAAGGTGCTCCCCAAATTGAAACTCGCTTTTTGTCTTCCTCATGGCTTGTCTCACCATGGAGTGGTAAAGTGGTTCAGGACAATTCAGTCGAGCTCGGTCCAATTAGATATTTTTTTTATTTTTGCGATTTTCCTCTAATGTGGGATTTACTAATCATGTTTGGAGCCCCCCGGTTAGTCAATCCTCCTTTAGCTGCATCAAATATAAATAAGGCACGCAAATGCATACATCCATGTAATCCAGCGAGGAGAGGCTCATCTGCCACATGCTCACGCATGTAGGGGAAGCAAAAAAAGAAAAAAAAAGAACCCAGAAATTTATTGTCACACAAGCAAAACAACATAATAATAAGGTTATGTTCCCGCGTGCCTGACTATTTTCGGAAGCGAGAAAAGGTTCTCCCTCTCCTCGTACCTGTACCATTTAGATAATCCCCGCGTTTTTCTCTCCGATGTGCAAATGTGCACGTGGTACATATTAACGATGTAAAAGAGGATCCTTCATTTTTTTTTTTTTTTTTTCAAGGAGGCACATCGTAACGTATTTATTTTTTTCATCCTTTGTGCAGGTCATCTCATTTATTTTAACCACTCGCATGTTTAGCTGCTCCTCTCCTGCTTTTGTTTTTTTTTGTATCATGGGCTTATTCCCCCTTTTAGTTTTCACCCCACAAGAGAGTTCAAAATGAGCTAGAAAGCACCTTGCAGGAAGTAACTCTCCCAAAAGAGTAACCCTCACTGCGTCTACAACTTAGTGGTGTTTTATGTTCTTCTTTTTTTTTCTTTCTTTTTTCCCTTCCCGTGGCCAACATCACGCGGTGACTTACAAGGTAGAGGAGCAACCAGCTTTAAGGTTAGGAAGTCCGAACACTGTAAGGTGAAGCTCCCTTCTGACAGGCAAGACATCCATAAGTCGCACACCTCCAGTGGTGTTACGCAACTGGTTCTTTCGCACCCTCCACCCCCCCTTGGCGATGAAGTGAGAGGTCCATTTTGCACAGCCATTTGCGTTTGAAGCTATCTAGTGAGTAACTCGTCCGATGCGCGCAACGTTACTTGTAGGGGATCAAGTCAAATGAAGAAGTCGCAGTAGCAGGTCAGTTTGGACATTTAACTTTGAATAAAATTAAGCGATCAGTTTGTCTCTAGAAGGAAGAGAGAGAGGGTACACAAACAGGCACGCCAGTAGGAGCAGTTGTATGCATACTGATCTGAACACTTTTTTTACGTGGCTCCTCTGCTGAAGAGAGCCAGTAGCGGACATCCATAGAGGCGAACTCGTCTGCGCTGTTTTTCCACGTGCACGCTCAGCGAAGGGACGAAGCGTCTGTCTGGCTCTCCCACTGTGAGTAACAACTTCTCCCACCTGCTTGCCAGACAAAAGCGCTTTCAAGAAAATGAAATATGGAAGATGCGCCCCCAGACAGCCGTCTCGACTCCTATCGCTGGTGTGCGCGATCATAATGTGCCTAGGGATAAGCGCGAGGGGGAAGCAGACTACCGATGGAATTGACCTGTACAAGGCAGTCGTCATCGACGCAGGGTCCACGGGGACGAGGGTACACATGTACAACTACAAAATTTTGGATGAAGAAAAAGGAATTAATATACACATTCCATCGATAAGTTACAAAACAACCCCAGGGTTTGTATACCTCCTAAATAACTACTTTGGAAATGATGAGAAAGTACCCTTTTATGAGTATTTTAAGAATATAAAAGAATTTCTGTATGAACATGTTCAGGTAAAAGAAAGATCAAGGACACCCATCATAATTCGCGCGTCAGGAGGATTCAGACTGCTTAGCATAACCGAGTCGGAAAAATACATAAATTTTGTAAAGCAATATTTTTTAAATAACTTTAGCGATTTTCTCCTAATTGATGAGTTACTGATCAAAGTGCTAAGTGGGAAGGAAGAAGCCATTTTGTCATTCGTCTCGATTTACGCCCTTCTGGAGAAGTTCAACCCCAGTCCTGTAACTTTCACGAATTTGGGGAAGTCCAATGGGGAGAATGCTGCTATCACATCGGAGGTGCAGAAGGGGGAGGATTCCCAAGAAAACAAATTCACCGAATTGACCCAGGGGAAGACCTCCCAAAATGGCGAGAACGACATTATAGGCGTGCTGGAGCTAGGCGGCGCCACTGCCCAGGTAGTAATGAAGTTTCCATTGTCCAAGATGAATGAAGACATTAAAAATATATTTAATTATAAACATAGAGAAAAAGTGAATAAGAGTGTGATAGAGGAGAATTATAAAAATAAAAACATCGTGAAAATTCCCCTCTTCGATGATGATATTTATCTTTATTGCAAAAGTTACCTCGTGCTGGGGAGGCAAAATGCCATGAAGACTTACCTGCATTATATTATTCATGAGCACAACGCGAAAGAGAAGGTGGGGGGGAAGGACTCCCGAGTTGCTGTGGCTGCACAGAAGAATGCAAGTGATAAAACTAAATTCATTCCAGTTGCATGCTTCCCAAAGAACTTCAAATTTTATGTCACTAATTTATACGAGACGTCCATTGAGGAGGAGCTGCACGAGTACGACGGGAAGATGGAGATGAGTGAATACGACTACGTTGCCGAGGGTACCGGGGACATCGACTTGTGCAGGTCGCAAATACAGACAATCCTCAACCACGCCGAGATTGACGACCTTCCATTTAAGCTGAAACGCTTCATAAAGCTCTACGGCATTGAGAACTTCCACCACTTTGCCATCGTAAGTGTGGAGGGAATGGGCAAAAAAGTGGTCCAAATTGGGCAGAAAGTTGGTTTAAAAATGGGCTAAAAATTGCGTAGAATTGGTATAAAATTGGGTTACAACTTGGGGGACAGTGAAAATTTCCCGGGTTTAGGTTTAGGGTTCACACACACACACACATGTCGGTTCCACGCCCAGCATGCACCATCCCGTTTTCTTTCCCTCGTAGGACATTCTGAACCTCCCAGAAGGCTTCAACCCTATTGCACTAAACTCAAATATGTACTTGGAGAAGGCGAAGGAAGTATGCCCTCTGACCATTGACGAAATTGTGAAGGTGGTTCGGCCTGAAGCGAACATCGAGAAGGCGCAGACATCCTGTTTTGGGTGAGCAGTGCGAGTGGTCGCTTGGTGTTGAGGACCCCCATGCGGACTCTTCCTTGCTCCTTCGTTTTTATTTTATTACATTATATTACGTTATATTATATTTCATTATATTATATTTCATTATATTATATTTCATTATTTTATTTTCTTCTCCTTCGCGCCCCCCACAGGCTAATATTCCTGTACGAGTTCATGCGGTATGTGCTGAAGATTGAGGAGCCCATAGCGTTCCATTCGACCAATTACGTAAGTGAGGGGAGTCGCAGCGTTCATAGGCGGGTCTGTCGGTGGGTAGCAGCACAGATAAGCAACATGGATGTACAGGCTTGTGCCATTGCCGTGCAGACATATCACCGTGGGCGTGAGATGTGCACCGAGGAGTCAGCACACGTCCTCCTTTTTCCGCACTATCACCATCGTGTCTTCCTTGTTCCTCACCATCACCGCCTCCCCCCAGATAAACAGAATCAGCATAACGTGGACAGTGGCCGTTCTGCTAATGGAGCTCCCGCCGCACTTGCAGACAATTAAAAAGCAGACAAGGGAACCCTACCACAACGATGAACTGTGAATGGGGAAATTACCTATCCCTTTTACGTGGCGAAGTGATAGAGGAGCAGTACGCCCGTTTCCCCTTCGCTACTTCCCACCTTTGTTTTTGTCATATGCGAGGAAGAACTGAAGAGTCGTCGTATACATCGATAGGAAGGCGCAAAAAAAAAAAAATAAAAATAAAGTAGGAGCAAGTACCGAAGAATGAAATAAACCCAGTGAATGACTGTGGCTTCCTTCCACTTTAAATTCTGGACAAGCCAAATGTCGTATTTGAGATGGCACATCACGGAGTACTTTTTTTTTTCACCAAATGGAAGGGACGTTCACATGAGTTGGAGCGTGTCGGTGCATACTCCTAGGTGGTCCTCCACTTTGAAGATTTTTCATACCAATCACGAGGGTTAACTTCTTTGTTTTTTTTGGAGACCTATACGAGATAGTGCTGAATAACCAGGGGAGCATTTTTACATTCCCGGACAGACACCTACCGTGGGGAGGAATGATTACTCAATTTGAAGCACTGAGAGTGAAATTTTTAATTGGTGCGAAATCGATAGGCCCAATTTTGAAGGTATCAAATGTTGTGCAGGTGGGGACCTTCTGCGAGGAGTGTTCCCACGCTGATGTTAACTCTGTTAATTGTGCCATGTTTGTCCACGTCCTGTGTTGCCATGCGGCTTGGCAGTTTTGCTGTGCACTGCTTGAAGTGGCACGTGGAACCTTTACTTCGTTTTTTCCCCCTTTTCCCCATCCCATTGTGGTGAAGTCCCTTTTTTACGATGTGCGAAATGGGCCTCTTTCCCCTCTGCGAGATGCGCGTCTTGCCCCTCTGTAAAATGCGCGTCTTGCCCCTCTGTAAAATGCGCGTCTTGCCCCTCTGCCAAATTGCACCTGCTCCTTGATGCATGGCGGTCATTGTTGTGGTCCACCGTGGGGGAAAACGTGGCGAAAGAGGCACACAAGGAAGCAGTTAGCAGAGAACACTGAACAGTGCCGAGTGAAAAGAGATTGTCCCCGTTACACTTACCGCGCGCCTCCCCATAATTTTGCCAGCTACTTTTACCTTACTTTGCTTTACTTTCCTCATTAGCGTGTGCCTCAAAAATGTCTCATTTTAAAACACCCAAAAGTTGTGTTTGTGTTGCGACCACTTGGAAGTAAATGGGCGAGCCTCCTCGTCATGTTGGCTATTGTCCTCATTTTGCTCATCTGGGTGATTTTCTCTTTTTCACCGTTTCCACCGCTTCCATCGCTTCCACCGTTTCCACCGCTTCACAATTTTCACAGCTTGACAATCTTCATCGCTTCACCATTTTTCCCAGTTCACAAAACTTGGGGAACCCCATGATTTGTTACGCGAAGGAGAAGTTACAATTTCGAAGGGGCAACTCCACCTCGAGGAAACACTCCGATTCGCATATAGGAGCTGCCTTGGGGGAGCGTTACCGAGTGAGGGGAGCACGCCTACATATCAGCACATAAGACTGGGCGGAATGGTGGAACAACCGTCCACGTGACGTGACTACCTTTCGTGTACATCCTGTGGAGGGAAATCTCCTCCTGGGGATTGATGGGGTATGGCCCCTTTTGGACAACTATTCCAGCTTGTTTTGTACGTGACCGAGCTCTTTTCCCCACTTAGAAACAGTGAGCGGTACACACACACACATTGTATATTAAATTGTCTGCTATGCAACGTTGGAGTGACATCGCCATGGAAAAAGGCTTCCCTGTCTTTGCAGTACACCCCCCCTCGCCATTCGCCCAATGGCACAAAATTGAAATTGTGCAATTCTTCCCGGGGTTGCCCCAATGCACGGCCATGTCAAACGTTTACCTACCCATCTTAAGTCCAATAGTGACCCAGGAGCTGTTTCAGCAATAGTCATCACCAGAACTGAGACGCCATCAGTTGAGACGCAGAAGACGCATGTGTGTTTTACCTCACCGTCAACTTTTTTTTTGCCATTCAGTTAGGCCTCTCAACGTGTGGCAGTCACCAAGTGGTTACTTTAATGCAGAGAGAGAGAAAAAAAAAGGTAATTTTCAGATTGGCCTCCAAAAAAAGGGATGTAAGTAGGGACCCTCTACCTCCCAAACCTTTTGGTTACCTTTCTTATAGGGTACCATTATGTTACATAAATGGCATCGACTGGTGGGCAATTCATTTCAGTTGGCAAAGAGAAATTAAAAAATGGAAAAAAAAAGAAAAGCAGAAGGAAAACAAAACCGAACGAAACTAAACTGTAGTTGAAGCTGAACCCAAAGCAAAGGAACAGGTTGAATTAAACTGTTTCGTTTGAACAAATGGGAATAATCATTTTTCTTTTTTTCCTCCATTTTCTTCAATTCGTTTCGATTTGTTAGCAGCTTTTTCTTTCCAGTTATTTATTGCCTTCTTTGCTTTTTTGTCTATTTTTTCGTTTTTCTTCCGTCTCCTTTTTTCTCCTACTTCCTTTGGTCTGTTTTCTATTTTTTCCCCTTTCCTGCGGCCGCCCGTTTGTATTTCCTCTTCTGAACAAGTCGGGCGAAAAAAAAACATAAGCACATGAGTTTCTTCTTTTCTTTTTTCCAAATTTGATCTTTCACCGAAAATGGGACTATGTACAATTGCCACGGTAATAAAGCGCAAGTGCGAACAAGTCCCTGGATCTGCATCACATGAGTATTCGTACATAAATATTATATACATGTATATGTCTACATGGATATAATATATCTTTTTTAGCGCTTTCCCTTCGCGCCCGAAGTTGCTCGCATTGTGGTTTAATTTTTTTCACTTTTTCAGGCGCCCTGCCTTGGACGTATATATAATATTAATGCAATATTGGGTCCGTGCATATGCTGGGGAGGTGGTTTAAAGTGGGCGGGGCACGCGTTCGCCCTAGGCACCGCGAATACCAGCGCGCGCACTGACCCATGTGATGAGAGACTATACGTGACAATAATGCGCCACGTATAAACGTAAAATAAACATAAAATGAACATAAAGATGAAAAGGATATACATTTTGTATATAATATACGAAATAATGCGTATCATACGAATATATACCTATATGCTTCTTCCTCCGAGTAATGTTATAATGTGGCCCTTTGCTTAGGGCGCGGGGGCGGAACCTGCATAACTGATGCGCTTCCTCTCGATTTATGCTGTTACCGTTTGTTGACTCATTTTTTCTTCAGGAGCTTCCCCCTAGAAAAAAAAAAAAAAAATTCAAATATCATTCGATCATCGTTCATATTCTTGTTGATTTTTTTTTTGAATAATTTTTCAGGCTTTTCAAATTTTCAAATCTTTAAATTTGTAAATCTTCAAATTTTCGAATCTTCAAATTTTCGAATCTTCAAATTTTCAAATTTTCACTCTTTTTCAGAACAGACTATTTCTAATGTGGTTTTTCTTTTTGCAAAACCACTTAGAAGCTTTTTGAAAAAAAAAAAAATATGCATGTATGTACTTGTATACGTTTGCGTGCCCGTATCCTTATGGAGAGAATTCCGGGCAGCCAGTGGAAGGGAGAGAAACTGAAGGAAACGAAGGCATGATCATGACAGCGCAGGGCTTTTTAATCCTTTTTGGCAGCCACCACTACCTCTGTTAAGGCATATATGTTATCAGATTGGCAGCGGCATTCATATCATGCACATGGCACTGCAAACGAGTAACATTGCCAATGCGTGGCCCCCTACGTTTTCATTGTTTTTGTTTCTCTGCGCGTGTTGTTACAGCTGCAACCAGGGAATACATTCGCGCATTCCGGTGGACCACTGAGGGGATTCGCGCGTAGGCCCCGGTTGCAGCCACGTGCATATTTTTTAACTCGGTTAGGTCCTGCCTTCTGGAGTCTCTCCATTTGGCATGTGCCACTTGGACTATTCCATTTTTCGTTCTCAATTTTTGCATCGGCAGTTTTGCCGAACGGTTTGTCTTTTTATCCTCCCCTCCCCATGAGCACCCAAAGGAAGGAAAATAAAATATGGAAAAAAACAACCCCCAAAGTAAGATTGGCCTATCGAGCAATGAAGGCGCTAATGTGTGTAGAGGCAAATCAAAAAGTAGACAAATAAACCCCTTGAGGAATCGTGGAGAAAGTAGCCGCGCTAAGGAAGTGAACGTGTCCTTCAGCATGGTGGGTGAAGAGTGTGGAAAGAGGGATCCCTCTGAAGGTGGCGCAATGAAGCAAGATAACGTTCAATTCGGAAGAGGAAAAAGTGGGAGCAGTAACAGTGTCGGGGGGGTGAATAATTATAAGTACAGAAAGAGTAGCGAACAAGGGAACGATAGTCGTCGTCACCAGCGTGAGGAGGCAGATAACCACAATGAGCATAATCAGCCCAATCGGAAGAATCAGCCGAATCAGCACACTCCCTTGAATGGTGATGAGGAGGAAGGGGAAAAGATACCAAACGACGAACAGATGATGCGTGACGAGGAAGCCACGTACAAACACAACAGCGCGTCCGTAAGTTCTTACGAAAATAACAATAGGAAAACGCTTTACAGACACAACGTATTGAATGAGGAGCAAAAGAATATCGAGTGGCTTCTGACTAGACAGAAAAATGTAGAGCATCTTGAATCGATAAATTTTAACGACATGATGAAGAACAACCTCTTTAGTTCCTTCCACAACAGGAACAGCCATGATGATGGAGGGAATGGAATTGGAGGGAATCGCAATGGAGGGAATGGAAATGGAGTGAATGCCAATGGGCATGGCAGTGGTGGTGACATGAACAGAGGGAACAAACTTAGAATGAGTAAGCGCGTCGGGAGGAACTACAACTCGAAAAAGATTAACAGAACGCCCGACAACCTGGAGATAAGCAACCTCGCAGATATGTTGTATAAAATTAAGAGGGAGGAGTACCGAGTGCAACCCGACGGGGAGGAGGAAGACTATGAGATGCCACTGGCCGGGAAGTACCACAGGTCGTACGATGGCCCTTCTGATGGGCGCTATGATGGGCGTTCTGATAGGGCATACGATAGGCGGTACAAAACGTCGTTCGAGAGACCATACGACACGTACTTCGATCGGTACCCCAGTCGACGCGTGGACGGACCTCAGCTTAGGGGATACGATAAAAGCTACCAAAGTCACGTGGATTTCCAAACGGAGTGCCAAATGGGTCGTAAAATCGACCGTCACTGGGACCGCCTTTTGGATCGCGACGTCGACGAGCGATGCGTGCAACGTTTCGAGAAGGACTACGACGAGCAGATGCTCGGAGGCCCAGAAGAGACCTACCGAAACAGGCGAGCCATGGAAGACTCCCGTGAGTACAGAGAGAGGAGGCAGGATGCCCTGGCCACCTATGATGATCGACGTTCACACATGATGCTCCACCAAGACAGCAGAAGAGCAGCAGACCTGTTTCTCCACAGAAGCGCCTTCAGAAGTGGCAGCGAGAGGCCAAAGGAAAAGCAGCACCATCAGAATAAACCGCTGAATCAGCAGCACGTGTATTCAAACATAGCCGACATATGCAAAAGTTATATCAAAAATATTAATAGCATTAGCAAGGGCACATATAAGAGTCAATGCAAGGCGGGTCTTTTTCGATACCCAAGCGCAGATGCAAAGCCCTATGATGAGCCATACAGAAGTGGAGACCACTACAGTGGTGGGGACAGTTACAAGTCTGCCATGATTAATATGGCCAGAAGGGGAGGCCGAGCTGGAGGCACTGGGCCAAGATTGAACGCGCCAAGTTGCACGGCCACAAATGGCAAGGCGGTGAACAATCACGATTTGGCTAGCCACTCTTTTAGCAGCAGAAGGGTGAACAGCCGGGACAGGAGTATTATGGAGGGGAGCAACCGGGAAGGAAGCGGTAACCAGATTGGCGGTAATCAGATTGTCGATCACCATGTGAAGGACCTCCAGCCCAGCGCCATTCCCTCGAGTGGAAACCCGGCGAGTAAAAAACATGAACCAGGTACCAAGCGGAAGCCCATGCGCAGTGTCCACTTTGCTGACGTCGACCCCAAAGAGGGAAAGCCAAAGTGCAGCAGAAACGATTATCGAGCTAGTCAAAATAACATAATGAAAAGAAACAATTTGGATCGAAGGAACATCGACCCATTGGTCTCGTCCTACATAGATGAAGGGGAAAATAACCTGGAGCAGAAAAGGACGAAGAAGAAAAATAAGCATAGTAATGCTAACAAGGTTGGTGATGTCCAGATGGGGATAGTTATCCCTGAGAGCTACGATAGGAAAAGTGCCAAGGTGGCAGGAGGGGATTCCTTCCTGGGAGCCAAAAGCGCATCTCATGAGAAGGCGCCCCTATCCAGCCTTCCCAACGGTTCGAACAATAACTCCATCGCCATTTCGATCGGTAATGATACCAGCAATGCCAATGGTAGGAGTGTTGGAAAAGGCACTGGCAACCGCAGTAATAGCCGCGGAAGCAACCGCGGAAGCAGTCGCAAAGGCAATAGCAATGGTAATAACAGCGTGCCCATCGGGCTGAGCGACAAAGCGGCTCCTCCACACCATGCCGAACACGCAGGGGAAAAACAGATTCCCATGGAAATCATAAAATACTGCAAGGAGAACAACCTTCTCCTGAATAAAAACAAAAAAGAGCTGTTAAAGTACTACAGAGATGCTTCTCAGGGTGAGGGGTTGCCCAGCGACTGCGCGAAGAAGGGGGTGAACCCGCATATGCTACTGGGGGAGGGGAGCAGCGCGATGAGTGTGAACAACGCAATTAGTGCAAACGACGGGATAAGTGCAAACAACGCTTTGAATGCGAGTACCCCTGTTGAAAAGCAGGGAAAGAGCAGTAACCTCTCCACTAATCATCCGGGTAGTAACCCAATCAGGAGCGAAAACAAAACAACCGCATGTGGTAGAAGTAATAAGCATCCAAAGAACAGTGAAAATACGCTCCAAAGAAATTGTCGACCCCAAGTAGCCAAGGAGGGCAGTAAGATTCAGAATACTATACACCCGGTCGGCCGTAGTAATAATAGTAGTAGTGGTAACGATAAGAGGGGCACTGGTGATGCATCAGCGGAGAGGAAAGATTCGCCACATCAGAGCTTCATCTCTTTGACGAATGATGAGGGGGGTGTGGAGCCGAACTGTGGTAGTAAGGCTGTGGGCATAAGCCATAGTAATGACGATTTGGGGATCAGCAGGAAGGGCAGTAAGAAGCACAGCGCAGGAGGTAGCGCAGCAGGTAGAGGATCAATTAGTGCGTCAGTTAGCGCGGCGATGAATGGTAGTTCTATGAATGGCGGCGCGGCGAATTCCGCAAGTCTCCTCGAGGGAGCGGCTCCGAGCACTTTGAAGAAACCGTTCGGGGCGGAGAAGGCATCTGAGAGGCTGAGAGGGCCTCACAGCGTCAACATGAATAGCGGCAACATCCGTGGCGGAAACATCCGTAGTGGCAATCGCGCCGGCTGCAACCGCCAAGCGCTCGGCATGCCGATGAAGGAAGAGGAGCGCGTCAAGTTGATGAACGACTACTACGAGGACATGCTGAAGTGTTACCGGCAGTATAGTCGAAGCGGCATGGATGACGCGAAGGCCTTCCACTTGTGCGACTACTGTGAGCAGAACATTTTTAATTTAAGTAACTTGCTAACGGCGAGTGAAGCCAAGGATCACCTGTATACATGCAACATATCGTGCGGCAGGACGTTCCATATGAAATGCGTGAGTCACGTCAAACCAAAGGGAAACAATTTTATATGCTTCTTCTGCCTGTACGATATAAACTTTTGTTCCTTGTGCAAAGAGGTTACAACGAATGATGGACTCATCCCCTGTTACTACCCACTCTGCAATATATTTCTGCACACTCAGTGTGTAGAGAAGTTGCAGCTGATGAGGACCGATTGTTTGAAGCAGTACTACTATTGTACACATTTGGTTGCGCCCAAATCGGGAGGTAATGTCAACCAGGGGGAGGGAACCAAGGCCGAACCCCCAGGGGAAAGGAAATGCAAGAAGAAACGAAATTACTACCGAAGGAGAAAGCGGTATGGAAAGAAAAAATACGTCACGTTGAATAAAAAAATTGACAAGAATCAGAAGAGTGAGAAGGGTCAGAAGGATGAGAATAATGAGACGAATCAGAAGAATGAGATGCGTGAGAAGCCAAGTGAACTTCACCAGGGAAACACAGCTGATACTTGCAAAAATGGAACATGTGTGAAGAAAGTGCCCCTTGATGGCAGTCACCAGATGGACAACCCCGATAATAAGCGTACCGTCCTGAACACCCCAGAAGGAAAGAAGGAGCTAGCCAAAATGGACGAACTGGCCCAAAAGGCTGCCGGACATTTAAGACTTAGCAAGTACATATGCCCCTTACATGTCTGCTACGTGTGCAAAGAATTTTATATAGTCAATTTGGAGAAAGTGAAGAATAAAAAAAGCAATTGTCTCTTCCGATGTCTAAAGTGCCTCAAGTCAGTTCACCTCCATTGCATGAAAAACAGTTACATTATTTCATTTAAGCAAAAGATTATGTTCTGCTCGGTTCACATTGAGTACTACAAGAAGAAGCACATGGAAATGTTACTTAATCGATTTTGCCGAATGACCAATGGTGTGCAAGGGACAATGAAGCCTCTACAACATGTGAAGAATGACAGCATTATTCCCTGCGTTAAAGGCGTCCTTACCGTTACGAATCCGACTAGTATTATCGTGCCCACGACGGGTCATAAACACAAAAGGGGAAGCAGCAGCAATCGAGTAGTCAACAGAAGCGGCTCCCATCCTTTGGCGCTGCCTCCCAAACCTATGGAGCAAAAAGACAACGTTGCACGTGCCTCTAAGAGGCTTACAGCCCCCGCAGGAGAACCCACCAAGCTAGGGTTATACCCGTTTGAAAAAAGAAACAATACAAATGTTCCCCTATCTTGCGAGGACGGTGAGGCACAGAATGTTGCCCAGCAGGGGAAGATAAAACCGGGCAGCTCCCAAAACGGAGTTATCATCACTGAGAATGTTAAGCAGATTTTCGAAGGAGAAAATAATAGAAACAGCATTGCGCATATTCCTGTCAGTAGTGTTGTTGTATCCCCTAACTTGGGGCAGAAGAAGGAAAAGGAAAAAGTGATGTTTGACCTAACCGACGAAGGTGGAAAAGAAGACAGCTTCTTCTTGACGAATGAATTTAAGGCGAGATATTCTTGTCCAGAGCAGGAGTCTAGCAAGTGTGTTGGCCAGGACATCCCCCTAGTGGTGGCCTCCCCGATGGGGGTGAACCCTCACATGGAGGAGGAGCTTCCAACAAATGCAAATCGTGGTGAGGTCCCCCCCAACAGTGCGCATATTTCCCTGCCGCCATACCACAGTTATAAAGGCAATTCCCAGGCGGCGAGCGAAATTGTAGGCGCTGCGAACAGCAAAAAGGAGGAGACCCATTTGGAGAGGAAAAACGGCACGGTCGGTGAGGAGGCAAAGGGACACGACGACATAAAGGAAGACAAAAATGGAGACAAAAATGACGACCGAAATGAAAACCCAAATGACGATGCAACTTTAAAAAAAAAAAAAAGAAAAGTTTCAAATGTCAACGACATCGAAATATTGAAAAATTACAATTTGGACATAAACATTTTGAGCGATTTTACCAAGCGCAATCCGGACTCCTGTACAATGCAGAAAGCGAACACTTTGTCGAAGCGGAGCTGCGACGCTAGTGGCACTGCTGATGGGGGGGCGCGCGTGCCAAGTGTCGTTGCCAAGGGGGAGAAGCGTCCCTTCGGCTCTATCGGTGTGCAAGGCGGCGCGAATCAAATTTGCGGCAAACGGGTCAGTATACCCATCAAGGGGAGACAATCAAAGGGGGAAATCCTAGGTACGCGAAATTTGAAAAACATTAGTAGTTGCAAAATGGAGCAGTTATATAAGAACCTGTTATCTCCCAAGACGATCTGCCACCTGTACACGAGGGAGCACTTCCAAAGCGAAGCGGAATATAATTACTACATCCTGATCAAGGTCAGGACAATTCTGCGCATGGAGAGGTCGCTGTTGGCTTTAAACCAAATGAACCCAAACAAGATAAGTGAAGAATGTGAAGAACACATAAACATTTTGTGCACCTTTCGGGAGGACTTTATCAATTTTGTCATTTTTCTGTTTAAGAAGCGAGGCGGAGGTGACATGCTCACAGATGGGCTACAAAATGGGGTACAAAGCAGACTACAAGGTGGGCCACAGAATGGACTCCCAAATGAAGCGCCCAGCGACTACATAACCAGAGAGGAAAAACAGACCCATAGGAATGGAGCCGAACCATTTACACCTCAGTTTGAAAGTAAAGACGAAGGGAAAACCTCCAGCTGTAGGAGAGATGTCGTGAAGATGGGCCAACGTAATAATGCCACCGCGAGTGGAGCCGAAGACAAAGTAGAAAAGTGCTCGTTGGATGAGGAGGCAAAGAAGGACGCGCTTCGTGGAAATACTAACCAGTATCCGAGTTGGGAGAAGCATGGAGATGGGGAAGAACCAGGTGTGGTTGTGATCGCCGCTAACGAAACCACCGCCGATAAAGAACAGGCCAGGACCCCAGACGAGGAGGAAAAAACAAGATGGGTCTCCAACGATTTGCTGAACATATTGTACAAGGAGCTGAAAAATGCAACCAGCATTATTGGGCCCACTGTGAAAGAAAGAACGCGTCAGGGATTGCCGCTGGGGAAGAGTTTCCATACGGTGGAGGATAGCGTACAAGGGGTAGTAGACCTCAACAGAGTGACAACACTGTCTGCCGGTGAGAATCGAAATTTGTGCATGAGCCAAAGCAGATGTTTGAATGCCCAGATGAACGGGAAGGGGAACACTCCCATTGGCAGTAAAGGAGGCACTACAGAGTGGAAAGAAGAAATAGGTAAGGGAGGACCCCTTGGGGGGCGAATGAACGTACGAAATAGTACCGACGTGAAATCAGCAGAAATATTGCTCACTGTGGAGGGTCAATCAAACCAGGTGAACGAAAATAATGGAGAAATAGAAGAGGACGTTGGAAAGGGAAAGAGAAAAATGTTCAGAAACGGAAAAGTAGATTTTTTACAGATAACCCAAAATGGCTCCAAAATAGATGTAAGCCTTTTAAAAAAGTACAGTTTTTACTTAAACTTTGAATATATTTCCAAGAATGTGTATTTTAATGACAAGAATAAAAACCTGTTGTCGTGTAAATCGGATGACTACAGATGCTTGTGCCAGGGAGAGTGCGACCCCTTCAGTTGCTACAATTCGCTGAGCAAGATTCAGTGCTCCAAGAACAGGTGCAACTTGCCAATACAGATTCAGGACAAGAAGTGCTTCAACCGGCCGTTCAGGCAGTCCGCGATAAAGGATCTCGAGGTAAGCCACATCCTTCGCGCGGTGTACCGACGTGTGTGCACATTGTATTGTCGTGTTTGAGCATTGTATTGATCTGTGTGCACATTGTATTGTCGTGTTTGAGCATTGTATTGATCTGTGTGCTCATTGTATTGACGTGTGTCCGCATTGTCTTAAGACTTCTTTCTTTTTTTCGTTACGTAATCACTGCACCAATTGTGCACCCCTGTAACCACCTCGCGCAGATAAGAAAAACGGAACGCACTGGATACGGAGTGTTTTGCAAGCGGGACATAAAAAATGGAGAACTCATATGCGAGTACGTTGGGGAGGTCCTGGCAAAAAACGAATTTGAGGAAAGATTGGAAGCATACCAGGAGGAAAGCAAAAAGACGGACATGTACAACTGGTACGCAATTCAGATTAATCGAGATGTGCACATTGATAGCAAGAGGAAGGGCAACATCTCCAGATTCGTAAACCACTCGTGCTCGCCCAACAGCGTTTCGCAGAAGTGGATCGTCCGCGGCTTCTATCGGATTGGCATATTTGCCCAGCAGGACATTCCTGCCGGGGAGGAGATAACGTACAACTACAGGTAAGTCTCGGCAAGCTGCCTCGCGTGATGGCTGTCGTGTATGTGCGGATTTGCATGCATACATATTTGCTTCTCTAATGGCTCTCTCACTTTTGTCTCCCCCCCTTTCCACTCCTTCCGCAGCTACAACTTCGTGTTCAATAATTTCGAGTGCCTGTGCAACTCAGCCAACTGCATGAATTACAACGTGAAGAAGAAGGAAGAGACAGACAACGAAATAAACGATATTGATGTAACGGATAATGATATATTCAATCCGATGGAGAATTTCAACAATCTGCACAGGAAGATGCAAGACTGGATCGTCAGCCTTGACAGCGTAGAAACGAAATCGTTATATAAGGAAAACAAGATGAATGCCATTAATTTAAGGCTAATGGAATCTTTCTCCACCTGGATTTTTTATGATCTGAATTTTGACAGAAATCAGTTTTTCTCACTGAGGTCCAGACCCTTCAATCCGATGAGTGAATTTTGGAAAATCCTCGTTTCGTCCTTTTCCGATGGCGAGAAGAATATCATAAACGCCTTCAATTTATTCTTGCCTTCCCTGATAAAGATTGGCCAGCTGCGCAGGATTCAGCAGGTGGGTGGGGTGCTCCGCGGTAGTGGTTTCGTTGTCCATATATTTTTTGCTCTTTTTTATTTTATCTATTACCTATTATTTGTTTTTATTCCATTTTATTATTTATTTTTATGTTATTTTTTTATTTTATTCCATTTTATTATTTATTTTTATGTTATTTTTTTATTTTATTTTTCTCTTCCCCCCTGCAGTATAGCTACATCCTTCACAACATCGTGGGCGCGGAGCACGAGATGTGGAACCTCATCGACAAGGGATTTGCGGATGACGAAGTGTGCAGAAAGTGTAAAAGCTGCGGCAACCTGACTATGTGCGATAAATGCTTCAACAGCTACCACCAGATCTGCGGAAATATACACTCGAAGGTTTACAAAAACAACGAACTAGTTTTGTGCAAATTCTGTCAAAAGTATGATCACAAGATAAAGTGGATAAAGCAAAACTACAGAGAACAAATGAAGTGTTCCATTGAAATTAGAAGCCGCGCCTTTTACAAACTGAATCGCGATATCATGACGCTGTTGGAACAGTCGGTAAAATATACGAAGGATATGTCCATATCGGCCATCACCGAGCACAATTCGAAGGAGTACAACAGCAAGAAGCTCCGCTGGAAGAAGTTCCAGTACAAGTACGTGAAGATATGAAAGTAGGAGGGGTGGAAAAAGGACTTAACGGAACGAAGCAGGAATGGGGCGAAGAAGAGAACAACATGACAGTGTATATGCCCCCCCCCGTTCCGTCGTTACACAATTTGCACGTTTACGTTCACACCAGTTCGCAGCTGCGATGTTGGCATGCAGCGATTTGCGCATAGCTTGGGCCAAATGGTACTATAGGGCGCCATAACCCTTTAGTGTGGACGGGAAAATTTTCCACACCAGCTTCAGACCAATCAGTAAAAAAACAATAATCGTCGTGTGCAGATCATTTTAACAGTTTTGACTTTTCATATTTGAAGGCCTCTACGGGGGCAACCTACCAGCGTTTTCGCCCATTCACTGCATCTCATTTTTTTTTTTCTTTTTTTTTTTTTTTTTTTCGTGTTCGTCTTTGAGCAAGTTGTGGCCCCCATCGGGTTAATCCATTTTTTTTTTTGTGCCAGCGTGCCACCTGGATAATCTTGTGGCATGGGCTAACACAGTGATGAGTCAATTTGTCAGTTCGTTTATTCGCCCATCCCCTCGCGCCATTCGCGGCGCTCACCACTTTGGGGCGAAACGGTCAAGTGTGTTCATAACGAAGTACTTGTTTTTAAATTAGCCAACATGTTGATCGAATTTTCCACACAGTTTATCCCATTTTTTTTCACGTTTTTTTTTCCACGTATTGCATCATTTTCAGACACACGACTCTTTTGACGTTGCTATGGCTTTAAGCTATCTCAATTTTTATAGCAGCCCGCACCTGCTGTTGGAACTCATTGTGCCACCCCATAACAGTTGCGCCTGAAACCTTTTAGCATTTGTCTTTTCTGCCCCCTTTTATGTTGCCTCGCACGTCGACCTGGCTGGCGCTGTTTCTCCGTTTATTTGCAGCTTTATCGCATTTTTATCGCAGCTTTATCGCATCTTTATCGCATCATTATCACATCTTTATCGCCGTTTTTACCCGCCTGTGCAAATGTTTCTCCCCCCTCGTGAAGACACGAACAGGGGGAAATTTCCGACAAGCACAAGAAGAAACAGCCCCCAAAAAATCATTTGGCATATAAAAAAAAGGAACACTCTCTTGTCAATGTTAAAAAAAAAAAAAAGGAATATTATGTCATTCTTCCCCTCTTTAATTTTTAAGCAACCGCTTATCTGTAGCGTTAAAAAAAAGAAAAATTTACCCCCGTTAGGAGCTTCAAAAGTGTGCGTTGTGAAATCTGTGGTGGCGTAAGTCAGCGGAAAATAGCCCCACGGGGAAGAAAACTTGGCAAATGAGTAATAAACTGCCTCATCAGAAGTATCATGGAAAAGGGAAAAAAGCAGATCGACTCGTGAAATTGTCATACTGTCACATTTGGAAATGAATAAATCTAATTGTTTACGTCCCTTAAGAAAAATGCATTTTTAGGTATCTTTTTTTTTTTTTTTTTTTTTTTTCGTAAAATGCAGAGTTACACCTTTTCCTAATGACGCATAGATCTAAGTAAAATCATTTATGACATGCATCCATATGTATACAATTTTACAAACGTATGCGTGTTCCCTTTTTGCTTCTTTTTTTGTTTTTTTAAAGAGACATATTTCCTTCCTGGCGCTCACAAAAACACGTGAGTGTATGGTTAATTCGTGTTGGTGTGCCCATGTGCATACAAGTGTCATGTTCATTTGTTCCTTAGCATTTTCGTGGCTATTCGTTCCATTCGTTTTATTCGTTTTATGCATTTACGCGATGAGTGTTCCGCTCGCCCACGCGTGTGCCAAGTGACTATTCGTTTTACGTGCGTGCCATGTGAACATTCGTTCCATTCGTGTATGCGCAATTATTTGCCTATCCTCAGTTTACACTGGGAAAATTTGCGTCCCAGTGCCTCTCTGGAAAATCACCTAAGGGGCGTCCTCGGAAACAAGGAGAAACGCACACGGGGGGAAATAACCACCCTTAGATAAAGAAGCGGTGTTTTTACGTTATCGGGAAGTGTTATTTTTACCCCCATTTCGCATCTTTTTTTTTTTTTTTTTTTTTGTTAAAGCAAGTAATTTTCCCCATAGCGCGGTGTAGATGCGTGCATGTGCGCGTTTTACATGACGTGGACAATTTTCCCATCCCTTTATTGTCTTTCTGCATCCGTATCATCTCTGCATTTAAAAATTAATCAATTGGCACGAATGAATTAAAGAGGCATGCACTTTCGGAAAGAAGGGAGGCGCGTCCTTCTTATTTCCGTGTTTATTTTATTTCGTATTATTTTAGCCGCTCCAGTTAGCCATTCAGAGCATTTTCTCATTTTCTCGCTTTCTCATTTCCTCGCTTCTACATTTTTGCATTTCTGTCCAGTCCAGCTAGGAAGCAGTGCCTGCGTCTGGCCCACGCGGAGAGGCCGCGGATCACAGGCATGTCTGTATAAACGTATCCGCACACGGAATGACGCACCGTCTGTCGTTCGCGTAAGAGTGTCTCCTCAATTGGTCGAGGGTAAAAGAGCCCAACCGTTTGCCCTTCCGGCTGCCCATCCTTCTGTCCCTCCTTCCTTCGCTTTTTCTTTTTCCGTTTGTCCACGCGAGAACTGCTAATTCGGCACCCCACTGTGCGGGCGGCCTATCCCCTCTTCCCCGGTAGAGAGAAACACAGGTGTTACACAGGCTGCACGCGTTACACGGGTTACACATGCTATACGCATCACAAGAAGCATAGGAGAGGAACCCAAGATAGAAGCCCATTTCGAAGCTCTGGAGGACGTCCTGCGATGGACAACAGGCGGTTCCTGCGAATAGGGAAGAGCGTCGTGCACGGGCGCACGGGGCCCCTGAGGGGGGACATGGGGAACGCGGCGGAGGAGCAGGAGATGGGGAAAGGCGCAGTGAAAGGTGACAACCCCGGGCGTGGCGGGAATAGCGGCGGTGATGGTAACGTTCGCGATGGAAACCTTCGCGATGAGAAGCCGGCCAGAGATGCAGCGCCGAATGAAAGCGCGCTGAACAGCCACTTCAACGCGGAGGACAGCGAAAACAACAGCGGTGATATTTTCGAGCAGCTGCTCCAGAGAGAACTCGCCAAGGGGGCGTTAGGCGGAGGGGTCGTGGGAAAAAACATGAGTAAGCTGAAGGGAAGCATGGCCCAGGGAAAGGACGAGAAGGCTCAAAAAGGGCAAACCAGTGTTCATAGAACATATGACAAAAGAGAGAACATGACCAACACCGCAAGTGCAAATGACCGAACGGGTGGAAGCAAAATAGGTGGCGGAGAAGAAGACACAGAAGTTCAGACAGAAGATTTGACAGAAGATCTGTCAAAGATCGACTTAACAGTACGAGTAAGCAGCAGTCAGGTAAAATTTCGAGTGCATGGATATAACGAAGTGATTAAATGTTTCACCAGTCAAGATAATACGAAGGAAAAGATGGAGATGGTTAATCTGCTTTTTCAAGATGAAGACAGAGTTCTTAAATATCTAGGAGACAACAATTTAATATGTCAGATAAAGGCAGCCGAAATGATAGCAGAGTATTTCAGTGTACTGAAGGAGATTCACTCCTATAACTTCAAGGAGGAGTACCAAAATGAGGAAGAGTTAATAAACTCGTTTGTTAACGATGTGAAGAACAAATTATTTTCCATTTTTTCAAAAATTGATACGGTGCTAATTGAGAAAATTTTAACCAACGCCAAGTCATTTGACAGTGGTTACAACATTGTGAGTAAGATAATTGAGTTTTGTTCCAGCGATAAGATAACCGTAAATATCTTAACTATTCTGTGCGAACATATGCATGGGATATATTTGAAGGCAAACAAATCGGTGTCCAACATTAAGGGGGTTAAGATCAAGGTCATCTCATCGGTTCTCCAGCTGTTACACAGACTTCTGACCAATTTTGGAGCCTCTGTCATATGCGTGAAGACGATAAACAAGTTCTGCTTCAAATTTAACGAAATGATGGATAAAGGTGTGAAGACCAATTTTTATCTCCTCTATATTGAAATGCTCAGCCAGATAAAAAACGCAGAATTTCAAAACTGCATTTTGAACGAGCTGAATAGTCAACAGAAGAACTACATCACCAAGGAACTGCAGAAGGAGGAGTACCAAAGAGGACCAGGGGCGAAACCCTGGGCGAGTACCTACCTCCTAAACCAGTGCAGTAGTGGTCAGCGTGGGCTCAGCGGAGATGGCATGATAGATGAAGATAACCGTCTTCATGATAACTCCTTCTCAAATAATCTAAACAACTTAATTGAAGAGGCTGACGTTTTCAAGGAAATCTGCACAAAGCAGTGGGAAAAAAGAGTCCTCGAAGGATGCATCGACAAGAACGTCAGCAGTGGAAGAAGCGGAAACAGTGGAAACAGCGGAAACAACAACAGTAGTAACAACTCCTTGAGCAATGAAAACTTATTGCCATGGAAAATCAAAGTTGAAGCCATCAATCTTTTATACGACAAAATGAAGGCCAAATGTGTAATTAAGAAGACGCCATATATTAGCACCATTTTAAACATAATTAGTAAGCTCCTAAAAAATGAGTCTGCTCTCCCCGTCGTTGTGTCTACCCTTAAGCTACTTCACATGCTGATTGAGAAGTTTGAAAAAGAGATATATACCACGGTGAAGTCCTTCTCTTTCGTCCTGTGTGCAAAATTGAAGGATTCAAACAAGCAAGTATCCAATGCGTGCATGGAATGCTTGACCAAGGCGATTTGTGTTTATAATATGGATATTTTTATCGATGATTTGTCGAAGAATCTGAAGGATAAAAATAATAACACGAGAATGGTTACCCTTGATTTTCTGCTCAAAGTGTTTGATTATGTGGACAAGAAGAACGTGGTTTCCATCATCGAAATCACAAAGCATCTGCTGAACGACACCGTTGCGAATATTAAGAACATGGCATGCAAACTTTACTCCCTCATTGTGACGAATTTCGGGGAAGAGGTGCACCCCTCCTTCTTCAGCTCCCTCCCCTCGAACAAGAAGAAGTCCATTTTGGCGCTCTGCTCGGGCGGCAGCGGGGGGGGGAAGACCAAGCCGGAAAGCGGCGGTGCGAGAAGTGGCGGAGGAAATGGCGCAGGAAGCGGGGGAGGAAGTGGCGTAGGAAATGGCGTAGCAACTGGCGTAGGAAGCGGTGGAGCAAGTGGTGTCGCTACTGGTGTAGGAAGCAGCGGTGCCGCCAGCCAAGGCGATAACATCGAATCGGTGCTACCCAGGACCATCACCACCAGCCTGAAGTCAAATAACTACGCCACGAAGATAGAAGCCATACAAGAGTTGATCAAATGGATCAGCTCCGAAATGAACATGGCCAATGTGCATCTAGAGCAGCTGCTACATTTTATAAAAAAAAATTGCTACGATTTTAAAGGCAAGTACATCCAGTTGAATAATTCAATATATGACTTTTTCAATCATCTGGTGGATCACCTATACCATTTTAATATCCACCAAGGGAACAACCCCCACTTTGTTAAAGTTATGAATGTCCTCATTCCACTTTACATGGAAAAGACGAAGGACAAAAAGGACAGCGTCCTTTGCAACAACTTCCTTCAGAAATGCTTCCACTATTTCGACAACAACGTCATTATGGATATCTTGATAAAGAACAGTGACGCGAAGAATGCTAAGAAGTGTGAGGAATGTATCAAAATGTTGCAGAAGTTGTTTCTCTCCAGGGGGGCCAACTCGGGTCCGAACACGGGAGGGAGTTCCTCTGCGAATGGCTCCTCCGGGAATGGATCCTCCACCCCCAGCGTTAACGTAAAGAGTCTCATCTTTTTCCTAAAAAAATTTGTCGACTCGAAGAACACAAATTTGAAAAACTCGTCAATGCTTCTGTTGCAACTGTTGAGCAGGAATTATGGGGACAAATATGTACTGTCCCACTTGGAGGGCATCTCCGAGAATATCCGGAAGTTGGTTAAATCGAAGGAGGACGTGGAGCGCTTCGTGCAGAGGCAGGCGCTGCAGTCCTCAGCCTCGTTGGTGCACACGGCGGATACGAACAAGTGCAGCGGTGGAAGTGGTGGTATCGGTGGTATCAGTGGTAGCGTCCGTGCTGGGGAACGGGGCAAGAACCCCGGGGCTGCTCCCCCGGTGCTGTTTGCGCCCCAATGGGACGAGGAGCCACAGGGGGGGGACTCCCAGGTTAGCGGCCATGTTAGCGGTCATCCAAGGGGCCATCCAGGGGATCAAACTAGTGCTCATTTACGCGGCCGAAACACCAAATGGGAGGACGGCAACCAAGAGGAACCCCCCTCGAGGGCTCACAGCAACACGGTCGAAATAGACTACACAAATGCGTACCTAAATTATAAGAGCACCAAAATAATTGCAAAGAAAGAGGACGGTGAGGAGCAGTTCTCCGCTCGCATGAAAGGATCGGATGCTCAGGAGAAGTGGAAAGTGGAAAATGGGAACGACCAGGTAGAATACGACGAGGGGGAAGACGAAAGAGATGGGGATGTCGACCAAGATTACCAACCGGAGGAGGACGGAGAAGACGAGGAAGAAAAAATGGTCAACATAAGTGACATGGTTAAGCAGCACGTGAACCATATAATGAGCGAAGGAAACCACACCAGTAATCACATCCAAAAAATTATTAACATAATCGAGAAGGTGGGAAAATACTATATTAACCCCAACAAGCTAGAGGTCCTTCTTAACAAAGACACCATGCAGCGAATTCTAAGTATCAGTAAGAGCAAATGCGCGGAGCTGCTGTATGTCCTCATGTTTTCGTTAAGGGATAATGTGGACCTATTCGTGGATACCATCCTGGATTGCATCATCCGGATGATTGAAGACGCAGACGTCAGCATTGAACAGATCGATAAGTTACTCTCCTGTATGTGTAAGAACGTGGGGATTTCGAAATACATTGGGCATATAAATGGGTTCATTATGAGCGAGAAGTTGAGCAATATGCGGGAGGAGGGGGGGACTACTGCTGCCATCCATGCGAGTGGTCAATCGAGTGGCCGTCTGGATAGCCAAGGAAAGCGACCCGCCAAGAGGAACAAAATACAAGTGCTCATTAACAATATCAATAGCAACCACATTCTGCTTTTAAACGAAAACGTTATTAAGAAGAAGGTCCTGAGATTTTATCTGGACCTCTTTTTTGATGACAGTGAACAAGTCAGGCAAAAGGCTAGCATAGTGTTGGATCATATCTATGCAAAGTACAAGGGAACCATTTTTTTAGAAATCTATGAAAAATTATCTCTTCACAAGAAGGAGTGTCTCCATGACATTATAAATCAAATGAAGATATCAAAGGAGGACTTCTCCTTTTACTCCATTGTTATGTCTAACAGTTCACAAATGAAGAGAATTTCAAACAACGAAAATAGTCTGAGTGCCACCACTCCGACCATGTCTAAATCGAGGAGCATTAAAAGGCTTAGCTCCATTAGCAAAAATAAAATTCTAAAAATTGAATTTCCCCCTTATCACAAAATAAAGGTGGATACTTTGAAGTGGGAGAAGCACCTTGATCAGGCACACACCAACTACCTCATGAGGGAATTCAAGCCGTTCAGCAGTTCGGAACTGATTCAGCACATGTTTAGTGACAATGCGAATATGGTTAACAGGTGAGCAATCGTGGTGTTAGGGACCTTGCAGCCACTTCTCATCCAACTTTGTCTTGCCGCTCTTCCAACTTCTCATCCTACTTTGTGTTTCCCCCCTACGCAGGAGCATCCTCTTTTTTAAGGACTACCTGAGCAACAGCTCCAACCAGTCGACGTTTTTCTCCAAGTCAGGCTTCCTGGACTTGCTGCTCAAGTGGATCTTCTACACACTGAATGGCCACCAAAACAACAACGAGCTGCTCTGCGCCTGCATAAATTTGCTGCGGATAATTCTAAAAACGATTGAAGACAACTATGTGTACCTGAATGAGCAGGAGCTGGTCATTTTGGTCAACTTCATTTGGGACCGCATGAACAGCGAGGTGACCTCCTCGGAGATGCGAAGTGAGTTCCTTTCCCGGGCGGGAATGATCTCACGTGTGATGATCCCGGTGTGAGTGTCGCGGTGGGAGTATCCAAGTGAGAGTGTCCCACTCTGTATGCCCCTGTGTGTACATGCCTACATGCTTCTCACACATGTCTCATTTCCGCCGTCAAAACAACTCGCCCACTTTAGAAAAACTGAAGGAAATCCTCCTCTGTCTGTGCTATATCTCGGATCACAAGCTTTACTTTTCCCTCCTGTTGAAGAACCTTTCCTTGTGCAACCAGAAGTGAGTCGAAGGGGGGAGGAAAAAAAATCATCATCGTGATGGGTCAACAGATGTACCCTTCACCTGTGTGCTCATATTGGCCCATGACATCCGTGTGTCCACCTGTATGATCATTATATCATTTTATTTCATTTTATTTCATTCCGTTTCATTCCATTTCGTTTCATTTCTTTCTGCACAGGCGTATATGCGACTCGCTGGACATAATCTTGAAGCTCATCATCCTGTACAAGGAGAAATGCCTGCATCTGGAGAAGGACGTGATGAAAATTTTGCAGGTGTTCACAATTCACAGCAAAAACAAAAACGTGACGATGTACTGCCTGAAGATTTTCGCGAACATCCAGTCCTTCTGCCCCAACTTCTACAAGTGAGTGCGCTGTGCGGGTGTGCGGCTGTGGCGTGGGTGTCTTTATTGGAGGCATTATTGGCCATATTGGCACTATTACCCCCATTGCCGCTATTTGGAGTCTTTTTTTGAACCTCCCCTCTTTGCGTGGCCCATTCGGACCCCCAGGGATGCGCCTCCTGACCAGTCGCTAACACCCCGTGACTCTCCCTCAGGTGCATTGACAACGACGACATCTCGACCTATCTAAAAAGGAAAGTTGACGAATTTGTTGAAAACTGCCCAGATTACAAGATTTCCCCGAAGGACACTGAAGGTAAGTTGAAGTGATGTGGCGGAAAGGAGGCAACCACTGCGAGTGGAGGCCAACCCGATGGAGTTGAAAGCAGCCACAGTACCCACTGAAGGAACCGCTTATCTGGGGAGATCGACTTCCCTTCACCTTCCACCACCACCGCCACCATTTATTTGTCTCCCCGAGCGTGTCCCCATTGCTCCATTCCCCGTTCATCCCCCCCGTTAGACGACGAGAATAACAGCTCCTACCAAAGTGACGACTCCGAAGGTACAAAAAAAAAAGAAAAGACAAACAAAATAAACGAAACGAATAAGCGAAACAAAAGAAAGCACATCGATGCATGTGTCCTCGTGCCTGAACTTACATGAACGTGTACACACCCTAGTAGTTACTACGTTTCCTATGCATCGTGTAAATGTGACAAAAAAGAATACGCAACACAACAGTGGTTATAATAAAGGGAGAACAAACAAAAGGGGTCCATGTTCAGCAGACTCGTTCACCCCCACGTCGTATGCAGCCAGGCAAATGCACAGCGGGGAGGACTGTCTTCCCCAAGACGATATGCACTACCGTGGGTCACATCCACACGTGCAGACCTATTTATTCATACATATACACAGATATAAATATAAACATATATTAATTTTTTCTTTTTTTTTTTTTCCACAATGAAGAGTCTTAGCCGACTCTTCATGCTTCATTTGATTTCTATTCTCTACCGAGTGTCATGTGCATTAAGTCCACATGTGTACATTAGCCTAACGTCTAGAGTATATTCCATGCTTTCTTATCATGCTAAATGCCCTTTTTTTCTTTTTTTTCACTCCCATTATTACACCACTGTTGCACGTGTAACGCTTAAAATTTTCGCCTTTTTTTTTTTTTTTTTTAATTAAATTTGCACGGCCTTTTTAGACTCTGTCTGAATGCTTGACTATTTTGATGCCCCCCTTTTCGTGAATTGTGTCCTTGCCGTTTGTTCGGTTTATTAGTTTATCGTGATTGTCCCTTGCCCCCTCTGCCCACTTTGTCCCTTCCATACACTGCACGTATAATTCTCAGGCATTTCCAAAGAGGAGGGAAACCCCGAACTGGCGGCCTACTTGAAGAACAACGCAAGTCAGAGGAACTCCATAAGGAAGGAAGTGGAAGGTGAGTTGAATCAATCTCCGCGCGCCAGACGCGTTGGCGATCCGCAATCTATGCGTAGAATCGGCTACCTGTCTGTTTTGTCTGTCCTGCGTGTATGACGCGTGCCTATTATCCTTCCGTGTTACTCACTTCTTCTCCCCACCCCACAGGACACGTGAACGAGTTCCGCAAAAACGTCGAGGAAGTTCTAGAGGTAAAAAAAAAAATCGAAGAAATCGAAATGGATCGGACAAATGAAGACTACATGAACGACCAAATATCCTACGTGAGCATCTCCAACAATTTAAAGTTTGCAATTGAAGCAAATAGCTACTCGAGGAATAAAGAAATTTTCCACATTCTGGAATCTAAAAATAATGACAAGGTGGAGGGCTCAAACAGCTATGAGAATTCTCTGGTGTACTTCCGCTTCGTATACTTGGCTTCTTTTCTCTACTCCAATGATGTGGAGACCATTTCGAAGGTGAGTACCCCTGTCTGTTTCCATTTGGGAGAGTTCCTTTCATTTCGTGTACGCCTCGCTGGCGGGTAGCAGCGGTTTATCCCGCCTAATGCACTCCATCTGGATTTAATACCGCCACTTCTTCCTTCCACTCCAGGTGTGCAAGATCATCGTTGACAACATCGTGCAGGTCGGGAAGAAAAGCAAAAACGGGAATTTCATCCTAAAGGAAAACGGCAACTACATTTTTAAAAACTTCAATTTGTTTATCACCCTAATTAAGGGAGCGAATTACTCGCTGAGGTTCCTATTCCAGAAAAGCTTTTCGAAGGACATAAATGCATCGTTCATTCACTTCAATGCGATCCTAAGTAATGTCCTGTTGGTGGACATTCTAATGAAGAAGAAAAGCTGCATCGCAAGACTCTCCTTCAATCATTTCTCCTTTTTTTTTATAAATACGATAGTCTGTTTGAGTATATATACCAAGGTCATTCACACCAATAGGTACATTTACTTTTTTAAAAATGGGTCCATCGCGAGAAGTCTCGTAACCAGCATTCTTAACAACCTACTGGGGAGAGAATTTCTGACAAGCCACTCGAAGATCCTTGAATATGTCTGTAACGTGTCCCTAAACCTAGGGTTCGACATCATGAAGAATAGCAAGATTCTGTTGGATGATCTCAGTGATACCAGTGAATTCTATATCTACACAAACACATACATCAAGATATTGAATAAAATTTATAAAAAGATTATGAACAAAATTTGTGAGGAAGATCGGAAAGACAATCCTTTCGTCTACAGGATTCTGCATCTTCTCTTTTTAAGCCTGAACCGATATGACATTTACTTGGGTAGGATCCAGGGCGATCGGAACAGGAAGAGGAAAATGGAGGGCGAGCAGAATGATCTTCTCGTCGGGGGAAGTCACAACTCTGGGTCGTTTTATAGCAAGAAGATATGCAATAGTGAGCGGGTCAGTGAAAGGCTCAGCGAGGATGCGACTGGCGAGGGGGGCGGCGTCCTCCCGGGGGAAATCTTAGACCATTCCATTTTTGACTGTCGCACGATTTATTATGAAAACTTGGGCGCGGTTCCCTGTGGTGGGGGTAACATCGCCGGGGAGGGAAGCGGTGGAGTGGCTACTGGGAGCGGTGTAGTAACTACAGGCAACGGTGCAACCACTTCTGGAAGCGGCGCGGTGACTTCGAGCTGCCCCGTCGGGAACAATGACACCCTGAGCTGTTGCAACCCGGCGAGGCCAGGCTTCGGCTCCGTGAGGGGAAGTCTCGGAACGGGCCGGGGGAGCAATTCGGGAAGGGGCAGCATCCCCCCGCGAGGGAGCAACACGCAGATGAGATCAGGCAATACACAGCTTCGACGGAGCAGCTTGCAGCTTCGATTGAGCGGTACCAGCAGGACGGCGAGTGTCACCCAAGACGTAGACAATGAGCCCACTGCGGATGCGCTGAAGCCAGGATGCAACAACACAAACGAGACCGCCTACTCCAGAGAAGAAGCAAAAAAAGTACACGAAAGCAGAATGGACTTCATGACAAAGTACCTTTTTTTCATTCAACTTATCTTTTATGGAATCAAAAAAAACAATCCACTAATTTTACTAGCCTATATAAATCACGAAATTAAGAAAACACACTCGCTCAATCTAACCTTCTATTATTACAAAATGGAAATGTTGCTGAATAAAGATGTGAGAAACTGCGTGCCAACGATCAATCTAAACACATCAGGAGAGTTCTATGGATTGGATTTCTCCTTCGAGAAGTTTCTACATCAGCATGAAGATCTGGAAAGATTAGAAGAACCCATTTTTAGTTCCTACAAAAATGTATTCAGTCAGTCTGCCAATTTCGACTCAGAAATTATTTACAACAATTTCGATCTCTCCATCGATGATGCAGTACACAAGAAAAGAGAGTTCCTTGAATCGCTAAAAATGATGAATGTGAATGAAGTGGCATTCAGCTCAAAGAAGTATGAGCATTTGAAGGCAGCTATTTTGGATTACATTAACGAATTGGAGAATACGGAGGTGCTGGATGATGTTCTTCAGAGTGTTGACCTCGTATCGGATTATAACTTCCTTTGCACCATGTATAGGATCCCGAAGGAATTGGAGAAGCAGCCCCCTGCAGGGGGCGAGGAGATCGCTTCGGGGGACTGTACAAAGGGGGACGCTGCAAAGGTAGATGATTCAAAGGGGGACAGTGAAAAGGAAGACGGTCCAAAAGACCACCCCGTAAGAGACCCCCTCGAGGAAAACCACCGGCCAGAAAAACGGAGCGAAACGAATGTAATCCAGCAAGACGATCAAAAGGTGCCCAATTTGATGAACGGGGAGAGGAATCTAACCGAGCGAAAGGATGAAGGCAATCCGGAGAAAAACGATCAGAGGGAGGAAGACGAAGAAGGAGGCAACCCAGAGAAAACCAATCAAAGGGGGGAAGAAGAAGAAGACGAAGAAGACAAAAACCGCCATCGGAACGACCTAACACATGGACGTAGCACCCAAAATAACCTTCCCGAAAAGGAAAAGAATGACGTGACATTTATTAGTCGCAGTATTTACCTACGAAACGAAACTGTGGAAAATATTGACATGAATGAATTGCGATTCAAATATGATTCTGCTCTGAGGGAGTCACCCTGTGGTATGGCTGAGAAGGGAGATTACGGCTTCCTCGTGAAAGACAGTAAAGAGAGTGAACCGAATCAGAGGGGTGCCAACTCAGGGATTGTCCCTAAAGAAGGAATGGAAAGCCACTCCGGAGAAAAGAAGCATAACCCCAGTGCTTTATACGATAAGAAGGACCCCCTGAATATTTTTAACAGTAGCAGATTTGAAGCACATAGAAGACGTGGAGGGGACCAAAATGAAGATCCGCTGCAGACACACACAGATCATCAAAGAAGGGGAGAGAGCCAGGCTAAGAAGAGCCACTTTTACTCCGACCCGAGCAAGTACCAAGCGGAGCAGAAACACACAAATGATAATCCTCCTAGTGGTCATAAAAATATACACAATGAAGAGGACACACAAGGGAATAAAACAGATTATCGCATTAGCGTCTTCGCAGCGGAAGGGGAGAGTAAAGGAGAACATGTCGATGGGCAGGGAAGCTTCTCCATAAAAAGGACATCTCTGCGTGGGGAATCAAGCGAGTCAGCGGCAGGGGAGAGGTTTCCCCCTGGACCCCCCACTCAGACCGTACAACAGACCCGACTTCGAAGCAGCGCAGAGGTGGTAAGTAAGACACAAATGGGAGTTAAAGACCCTGCCAAAGAGAGAACCAGTGCAGACGTGAGGGGGAAAACTAGGGGGGGGAGCACCCTAAGAAGTAGAACCCCGCAGTACACTGAGCATACGTCACGGACTCCCCACACGGATAAGACAATGACTGCAGAGGAGAAACCCCATTGCGTGCTGAAGAGGGGCAAGTCGAACGACGGGAAATACAAGTGGTCTGATTACGGAGGGTCCAGTGTAATCAGTGGAGACAGGCAAAACGGGTCTTCCTTCTGTGCGGGAGCTGCCACGGGAGGGGGCCACGATAGACCCCTTACAAAGTCAAAAACGAACGTAAAGTATTTAATAAAGAAGTACGAAAGTCAAAGGGACATTATGGGTGGATCTAACAGCGTGAAATCTGCCTCCATTTCTTCAAGGGGCAAAAATGTGGAATCCTTAGCCCTAGGCAGCAACGGCAGTAGCACCTTGAACAGTGGAGCAAACCATCAGCACAGAAGCAGAGCGAACCGAGTGGATAATTCGCTAAGTAATACCAAATTACCGTCTTTTCAAATGGATAAGAGAAAGAAATACCTCTACGAACGGAGCATGAGCTCATCATTTGATGTTAAGACAAAAGGAGGAGACACACAAAACGTCGCTAACATCATGAGGCAAAATACTATCATAAGACATTCCGACGTTGGCAATAATTTCATGAATACGTCCCTGATCAATAAGGGAAAGAAAAGCAGTTTTCCTCACGCAAGTCACAGCAACAGTGTGAGCAGCAGAAACGGGGCCACTGACACTGGCAGTGGCAATTGGAAGAACCACGTCGCGCCACCCAGTCATTCCACGAAGAGAAAAAATAACATTGGTATTTCAACTCCATTAAAAAAAAGTATATTAAGAATGCTCTTTCTGTTTGTTCTCCGCGCGCCTCGCGCAGGGGATGTGTGCCTGGGCAGATTTGTCCTGACAGTTGTGCGGTTGTGCATACGTGTTCTTGTGTAAAGAGGCTTGTTTTATATGCCTATTTTAGGTGCCTTTTTTATGTGCCTCTTTTATATGCCTCTTTTATGTGCCTATTTTATGTGCCTCTTTTATGTGCCTCTTTTTTTTTCCCCTTTCCCCCACAGAAAACCTGAACAAGTAACCGCCATTGTGGTGCCTCATCCGGTGTCCCACCCTCTGGCTGCAACGAAGAAGTGCTTTACCAAGGCAGACCAATTTTTAAAATTCTACGACGTGGAAGAAAAAATAAAAGAAACGTCCAGTTTGTTTTCTCATGCACTATGTGTGTAACAGAAAAAAACAGGCCAACCTGTTGCCCGCCAGAATGGTTCCCTGTCAAGCGAACAAATCCGCATTGTTGTGTCCATTTGGGTATTATTTCATTTTTATTTTATTTTTTACTTCTTAGTTTTTTTTATTTCTTCCCATTTGCTTCTCGACTTGTCTTTTTAAAAAATTAAAATCTTAATCATTTTCGAATTCATTTCTTTTTTTTGTTCACTTAAAAAAAGTTAAAAATTGTTTTGCGCACGGATCGACGGACGTACGCACGGATGAATGGACATACGCACGGATGAATGGACATACGCACGGATGAATGGACATACGCACGGATAGATAGACGCATGCTCGGATGGACAGACGTACGCATAGATGGACAGATGTACGCACAGTGTGGAGAGGGGGCCTGCCAAGCGGGCGGCTCAAACGCGTATTCAAATTGTCGCAAACGGGGAGACGCCCCGCGCTTTTTAAAATGCGGAAAATTGACAGATTCGGGGGGAAATTACATAACTGGGCTGGTGAAATGCTGGAGGGGTGGTTTTACCCCTCTGAGGAGGGTAAGTAGGGACAGCGGATGCGGTGAGGAGTGGGCCTCGAAATGGGCACTCCAAGTTGGGATAGCTCAGGAGATTGTGGTATCTGCCTCCGCGCGAATAGCGCTTTTTCGGCATCGGGTCTATATGTGTGCATATTTGTGTAATTTATTTATTTTCACTTGGGCACCTTCTCACCTGTGCTTCTTCGCACTTTCCCGGTGAGCCCTTTACATCGGGGCTATCAAAATTTGTAGAAGTAGGCGTCAAAGGGGAGGGGCTGCTCGCTGGCAAGCACATCCGAGAGCCAGGAGTCGTTCAGCAGGGGTGTGTTCAAACTGAAGGAGGGGAAAGTTACCTTCGATTTAAGAAGCTTTATGCACAGATAGTTGTTCCTCTGATTTATTCGTATGATTTCCGTGTTGTGGAAATTGAAATACGTGAGGTGTCCATTTTCAATCAAAAAAATGATGTTTAGGAATATGTTTTTGTTGACATTTTTGAGGTCTTCTAATTCGAGGTTGTGCATCTGAAGCACTTCTTTAATGTCCGTTTCGATAAGTTTTACGTCGAACTCTTCGCTGCAGAGGCGCACGTTTATGCCGTGCTCGTCTCGCAGGGTGGAGATGGTCTGCTCCGAGTATTTGCTATCGATGCTGTCTTGGATAATGTAAAGGTAGTATCCCCACAGGGGGTGGCTCTTCCACTGCGAAAGGGGGGGGAGGGGTGAAGTGCGCGCACATGAGCACATAAGCAGATAATCACATAGAAGCAGATGAACACAGAGAAGCAGATGAACACAGAGAAGCAGATGAACACAGAGAAGCAGATGAACACAGAGAAGCAGATGAACACATAGAAACAGATGAACACATAGAAACAGATGAACACATAGAAACAGATGAACACGTACAATAGCAGCACACTGCGACACGTGAACCCCAATGCACACGTAGCATAGCGTCATGGCAGGACGTTTTTCCCCACCTGCACGTTGTAAGGCAGCTGGTAGGACTCCCCGACCCTGGAGAGCGCATGGCTCCTCTGCTTTCTGTTCAGAAAAATGGACCCATACACGTGCACGTCGTACACCCAGTAAAAGGTAAAAACTTGGGCCTCCAATTCGAACCTGCGCGAGGGGTACTTGCACCGTAGAGTGCTCTGCAAGCTGTACAGACAGTGGATTTCCTCTTGTAAGGTGGAGCCAGATATATCGTTACTTAAGATAATGCCAAAAATAAAAATTTTTGAAAAATCCCCTTTACGCACTTCTATCTCGCTTAGGGTTATGGCGTCGCTAATGTTGTTTCTGTATTTGAAGGTGTACTTTATTTTCTGGTTTGCATTCTCCATTTCTTTGCCCTTCAAGACATGCAAGATTATTTCTCGGACCTTCTTTTCCTCCTCCGTGGGGGCGTTGTGATTCGCAGTGATCAAGACAAATATGCACGTGAGGATATCCCTCGGTTCGGATTTTCTTGCTGTGCGCTCGTTCACGATGATGTTTTGGATAATCTGCGCGGTGTGTAGGCGGTCCTCCTCAACGGCATGCTCGTGCTTCCTGGGGGGGGCCTCCGGGGGGGAAGATGATACGATGGGGTTGTTCGCAGGTGCTTCTCCAGCTGCTGACTCCTCAACTGGTGGCTCCTCTGCAGATGCCTCTCCCAGAGGTGCTCCCCCTTCCGCCCTGCTGTTGAGCATACTGTTGAGGGAGCTCCTGAAAAAGTTGTTACACATTTTGTCAACGGTGTGCTGGCTGCCCTGGGCGCGCTGCTCCTTCATTTCGCGCTGGCACTTCCTCCTTTTGATGTGCCCCGCGAGGAGGTTAAAGTAGGACGGCTTGAAAAGCGGGATGTGCATAAACGGCTCGTATTTTTTCACGTAGTTATTTACATAGAAGGGGAAAACCAACGAAATGTACGTATCGAAAAAGGGCGCGCTGAAGAGGACATTCTGAAAAAGATTGTTCTTTTCGTAGGAGTCCAAAATGAAGAGAAGTCTCCTCTCTGTAATTAAATTTTTTGTGTAATTATCATTCAGGTCGGCCAGCTCATTTACTACTTTATGCATTTCCTTGTCGTCAATTATTGTGTAAACTTTTTTCAGGTGTGCGGGTCCCCTGCTCATGCTCAGCGTGTTCGTCGAGTCATACAAGAAATAGTGGGACGCAGTGTACGGGTTGGTCACACCGATTCCGTTATGGGAAGAATCATCCCTGTTATTGGCTTCCCCCGGGTGACGAGTACCCCTCTCCCCCTCATCGTCCCCCTCGTACAAAACAAGGGCACCCCTATTGTCGTATGTGCTCCTATTATATGTCAGCTGTAAAAGGTCGTTGTTCTCAAAGCAGAAGGTAGACTGCTCAGAGTTACAATACACCTTCCCCTTGACTATCAAAAAGTTATATATTGGGATCATGTTCTGTAGGAATTTATGAACATGGGAAAAATTCGCTTTGATGTTATTTTCAAATTTTTTGAAATTTTCGTAAAATTTATTTTCCGTTATGTTTAAAAAGTGCAGACATTTGTTCTTCCGTTCGTCGTACTCTACAGAGAGGTAGAAATTTTTTATCAGCTCGTGAAGACTCATCAGGTGCAGTGCTTTCAGGAGGAGGAAGAAATTGTGCGGCAGCATATTCCCTTGTATGATCAAACTCTTATAATCGAAATTTCGGTTGATGTCTTTATGTACATTGTCGTGAAAGCTGATGGTATTCTTATACATTTTGGAAAAGAAAAATAGAAAGTTACTTATTATGTAGTAAATTTTTAATTTGTCTTTTCTTTTACTTATGTGTCTGAGGACACAGCGATAAAAATTCTTCACGTCTTTGTCGCAGATCTGAACTGCATTCACATCATAGTTGTAGTTATTCGGTAGGTTTATTTCCTTCATGAAGTCTCCCTTTATTTCGTTGTAGATGTACTCATCGGATTCTACTCTTTTGTTCAACATGTGGAAAATTTTGGCATTCTTGGTAATCGCCTGCTGATTGGGGCTCTTCCTTTGATTTTCACCCTGCTTCGTATTTTTATATTCTTTTTCCTTCTCATTTTGGTTCTCCCCTGCGGCAGTTCTGCTGGCGTCTCCCCCCTGACCCAACGCCCTGTCTTCACTCCTTATGTTCAGATAATTGCAGATGTCTTCATTTTCGTACAGCACCAATTCGAGCTGGTGTTCCTCTACCGTGGTGGTTCCCTCCTCGATGTCGACCTTTTTCTTCTTTTTAACTTTCTTTTTCTTCCTATCGTCATCTTTCCTCTTTTTTTTTTTCTTCCTCTGATTGGCTCCGCTGCAGCGCGATTTGTCCGCAGCGTCGCCCTCTTTTTGGCTCGCTTTGTCTTTCCCTTCCTCTTGCGCTTCCCAATCCGCCTGTTCCTCCCCCTTGACGAGCGCGCCCATCTGTGCGCACGCGCTACTGTCCTCTTTGTCGGAATCATCCGTCATTTTTCTCTTCTTCGTCTTTTTCTTCTTCGTCGCGGAGGTCTGCTTCGGTAGTACTGAACCTCGGAGGGAGGCCTCTGCTCCGCCTTCTGCATCGCCCCCACGGGGGGACTCCCCCTGCAGAGGGCTCCCCTCCGGCTCACGTTTCCCTACAGGGTCCCCTCCCCCGATTGCAACCCCCCTTTCGGGCTTCTTTTTCTTATTGGCGAGGGAAATTTCCCCCTTGGTAAGCGGGACAAAAGAAGCATTCTTCAAATAATCATAATGCTCCTTCTTCTTCTTGTAAAATTCATTTCTTTTCATCTCCTCATAGAACAGGTCCATGTATTTTATATCATTCTCTTTCAAAAAATTTAAAAACCCATCGGAAAATTTCGTCAGTTTTACATGCTTTGGAGTGAACAGTCCACAAAAATCACTAGTCATGATGAGAGCCTGGTGCTTCATAACTTTGGAGTCGTGGAGCTGAACGATACAATCACTTAGGCTTTTAAAAAGCTCATACTCACTGCTGTCTTTTATGTCTTTTTTGTTTAAATTTCTGGAGGGCTTGTCTAATATGTGTCCATCTTTATCGTTAAAGCTCATGAAGTAAAACATGCATTCTTTGAAGAGGCACACGATTTTCCGGTTCAGTGTGTCTTCATCTTTGCTAAGGTTTTTCCCTTGGTGCTTTTCCACTTCGAGTAGGTACCTCTCCTCGCCGGTATCCTGCGCGTACACGTGGGTTAACGGTGAAAATGACGCGTAATCGTTTTCGCGGGGGAGTGGCAAGGGGGAAGTGGCAACTGGGAAGAATCTCCCTGCTTCGATCTGCCACCTGTGTTTCACATGGTGGGTTTCTCCCCACCAGGCCGAACCACGGAAGAGGTCCGCACGTGGATCCTTAACGCTACGCACATTCCTCCTTAACACTCCCTAAATGCAGTTATCACCTCGCCGTAGCCGTCATTCAGAGGGCTCACGTTGTTCAGTTTGTACCCCTTCGCCTGGAGGGCGCTACTGAAGTAGTCGAAGTCGGCATTTTGCGCTGAGAGGCAGGGGGACAGAAAAGAAGGTTTTATCAGGTGTAGCGAAGCAGCACGCGATTACGTCTCAACGTTGGGGTTATCCCTCGGTGAGGACCATACAAAGCACACACAATATGTGACAGGTCCCGCGCCCATCCGATACAAGCACGACGTTCCACTCGTAACTACCGAAGTGTGTGCTCTCCGGGTAGACAAAGGAGTGGGGGTTCCTCAAGCTATATTTAAAGAATTTGTTCCACTGGCTATTTGAGTCGTACTGTATTTTGATTTTCTCTATCAGGAGAGTGTGCGTGATGTCGTCGTAATCCACCATCGTTCGGCGCAGTGGTTAACAAAGGGGGGGAGTACATTTAGGAATGGGAAAGACGGGAATGGGAAGATGGAAGGCGAAAAAGGGAAGCGGAAAACGAAAGACGCCGAAGTTCACGAGAGGGAAACTTGCGCTTAGGTATTGCTCCAGACAAAACACAAATCTATCATCTTCGCCACTTTGAAAGTTGTACCAAATGGATGGGGAGAAAAAAACTACCTCGATGGGCAATATATTTTTTTCTTTTTTATCCTCTATACTTTTCGAAAGCAGTTTGACAGGTGGGGGGAGAGTTCAGCTATCCGCGCAGAGTAAGCCTCGAATGGGTCTCTACTCGGACGGGAATGAGTGCATAGGTAAGCAAATACATACACATATGGACTCATATGTACGCTCGTATGCATGCCTACTGACGCAGAGGTGAACACCCCATGAATGTGATAGCAAAATGTAAAAAAAAAAAGCTAAACGCGGGACCAGCTGACAGGGCTTTAAGTAGATGGGCTAGTAAACAATACTTCAAAAAATCATCAGGAGAAAAAAAAAAAAAAAATCTCTGCACAATTTTCACCTAACTATTACGCAATTACACTCTCGAATCTTAGCACAAGGGAGCGAAAAAAATGTGTTTATGGGTAACACATGAAAAGTGAGTTTCACATTCGTGCACGAAGGTGTGTTTTAATTTTTTTCCCGAACTTCTACTACTTGGCAATTTGCGTTATTTGCCCAGTTCCTTCGATTCAGCGTTTCTACATGGTTTTTTTTACCCGCTGGTTTGCATTTTGTCGCTTACTGCTTTTCCTCTTTCCTGCTTTACCGCTTCGTTTGCCTGTTTTTTTTTTTTTTTCATCCTTGTCTCACCAGCACTGTACTCGCAGCCCAACGATCATCCTCGTTTTTCTCCACATTCTCACCGCACGTTATTTATTTATTTTTCTTAATTATCCACATCGCGATGTAACACCCCAATTGTGAAAAGGTATCCTTTTGAAAAAGGAAAAGGATGAGGACCAAGTGAACAATCCAAAGGTTCACTCTCCAGAGGGCTATAATGAACGAAGTGAGAGGAGGTGTGCCTTAAAATCTCGGCTGATAAAAACATGTGCAGGGAAGAAACGAAGGCGATATGGACTTTGTCCAGGGTGTCTGCATAAGTTTAGCAGAAAGAGTGAGTCATCACAATTGGGGAGAGCAAAAATAAAAGCGTCCTCTTTGGAGTGTAGCGACTGCTTCCCAAGTGGAAATCACAAGAAGGAATCGTACCCACTGCGAAATGTGAGGGGGGGGAGAGAAATTAAGACAATTGTTTCCCTATTCGATGTCGCAGAAAGGTTGCCTCAGAAAGGGCATAAACTGCGCAAATTTTGACAGCCCTATAATACGTAAGGAAAAGAAGAAGCTGGCAAAGGAATTTTCCCCAAGTTTTCTTCTTCTCCTGGAATTGCCTATTCCTCCCCACGTGAGCTGCAGCCTCACTCGATGTATGTCCCATTTAAAGGTGTCAAAGGGAGAAACGTGCCAGAAGGAGAAGCTCCTGTATATGCAGGAACAGTACCCTTTTTGAGACAACCCTTTTTTGGGGTTCTCTCGATGTTTGTCTTTCGTCACATATTTAATCCGTTTCCATTTGGTGATTTTTTTTTTTTTTTTATCACCACAGAAGATAAACTTCTGCTTAATTTGTCCCACCAAAGTTGTTCATTTAATTAAGAAAAAAAAAACGCATTGTTGGAAAAGCGCTGGAGTTACCTCCTCTGTAAAAAAGGGGAAATAATTCCTTTTATGAGAATTTAAAGAATTGCAAACGAAGTGTCATT